TCCGAATATGGCGTCCTGAAGTCCTCCTGGTTGCTGAAACTTGAGCTGCATCCAGCCCCGGGGGTTTACAGAAAGGGACTAAAAATACTCACTCCAAATAGAAGGAGCAAACCCCACCCTGTCATCTATCAGCGTCTTCTGGAAATGAGCACCTCATTAGGAATATGTGTGTAGCATAAGATCTGAAAGTTGGCCTGTGCTGATGCGTTCTTAATCCCCTCAAAAGGAACCGAGTCTCCAGATGCCCAGCGAGTCAGGCTGAGGGCAGAGGAGGAGGAGGAAACCACCCAGTACCGGCCTTGGGGTAGCGCTCTCACCCCCTTGTCAGCTGCTTCAGCTTCAGGCCTCTCTGAGGCCTCTCTAAACACACTGTCCCTATATTTAGTGCTGGGCTGTCATTTTGGATGTTGCTGCTATTGCAAAAATTTAGTAGCAGCTGGAACAGAAATCCCGACTTAAAAGACCCTGTTTCCAATGGGGATGAGGTGTGTTTACCAAATAAAAGAAGGAACTGCCCAAGTGGATGCGCTGCCTCAGTCTCCTCAGATAGAAGTCAGTCCCGTCCCTGTTCCTGCCCACGGGTCCCGCACATGCACGCTGGCTCTGCCTCTGTCTGCAGTGCGTGTGCACTTGTGCATGTACATCTGCACACACGTGCACCCACATGTCTGATCTCTGGTTCCGCTGCTCTTCTAATCAGTTACAGCCAGAGAAGGGGTGGGAGGTGTTCTGTAATGGGAGCACATCTTACAGAAGCAGCAGCCCCGGGTGACAGGGCTCCACCCAGGGTCATCCATCCCACAATCCACTCATAGGGGTTGATACTGAGCAGTAGAGGAGGAGAAAAAATAATTTTTTCCTTCATTTACAGTTCTTAGTTGAGGATGGAATCTTGTAACAAAGGACAGACTAAGTAGAGGAAAATAACCCTGGGTGTGATGGCACATGCCTGTAATCCCAGCACTCTGGGAGACCGAGACAGGAGTTGAGTGCTAGGGAACTTAGTGAGATCTTGTCTTCAGATGAAAAATAAAAAGAACTGGCCCTCAGTTAATCCCCAGAACTGCAAAACAAAATCAAAGAAAAAGGAATACACAAAGAAGTTCATTAACAGAAGAAGCAGCTCTGGTGTTCATGGGAGAGAAATGAGTATGTCTCAGAGGAAGCTTAGACTTCAGGCTTCAGTAGCACCATTCTCTGAAAACCCAATGATGATGCAAGAACGAGGTTTTGAAGAGGTGCCTGGGTCTGGCATCCAGGGCAAGGGCAAGATCCGCTTGGCACCAGTGTCACCACTGGGAAGAGGAGTCTCTGGTAATGTGTCCCAGTCTTCCTGGACAGAGACATCCTTCCAAAGGAGTGGTTCATACAGAGATGGAAATTTCCCCTATAGTCAGACAGCGTCTATGTCTGCAACATCCCAAAATAATCAGTGCAAAATAACCTTTCTGCCAGAGGCAGATTTGGGGGCAGCATATGTGATGAAGTAGTTCCCAAACTCCATGTTACCAGAAATTATCAACCTTACCGCCATGGCAGGAATAGAGGGAAACAAGGGTTCTCTAAGCAGGCGCCAGGACTGTTTGACACACGCACTTTGGCACTGTTTGCTTGTCACCCGCACAGGTCCCCCCTTGGCTACTGGTGTTGCATATGGGAAGTCCTGTATGTACCCCAACACCAATATAAATACCATTCTGTTCATGCAGGTTGATTTGTAAGCTTGACTGTCTGCTCCGTGAGGAGTGAGCCTGTCTTTAGGACCCAAACATGAGTGCAGCTGCTGTGGTCACTTTCCTTCCATGTTTTCTGCTTGTGCTTGAAAATGACTCCTCTCACCAGCCATAGTGGCGCACTCCTGTAATCCCAGCGCGCTGGGAGATCAAAGCATGAGGACTGCAAGTGTGAGCCCAGCCTGGGGGACTTAATGACGTGAATAAAAGTTACCAAAAAAAAAAAAAAAAAGAAATATGGATGTAGCTTGATGCCATGGGTTCAGTCCCTGGTGGACACACACGCAGGCACACGCTGCCCCCGCGCCAGCACTAGACGGATGACCGAGGAGCACTGTGAAGACTGCCCAGTGACGAGTTACTGCGGTCATTCAAGCTATTGTGCTATGGAGCCTCAGGGTTAAAGCTTAACTGCAGATACATTACAAGGAGGCACATTTAAAGAATAAAATTAGAATTAAACATTTGCTGACTCTCTGGGCTCCTTGTAGCTATACAGATGAGAAAACCAAAGCCCAGAGACCTTGAGGATTTGTTAACATCAGACACAGTAGATGGGACTAATCTATTTAGAAGATAGGACTAGTCCTGTCTTGTGTTATGTCCATGATCCCCAGATTCTGGATCTGGGGAGTCCCCTTGGGGTCCGAGACCTTGGTATATGGTCCTCCTGCCATGAACTCATGTTACATATGACTTGGTGCCAGCTGTGGCTTCTCATGGGGACCATGGCTGGTCCTTAGAGAACCAGTGCGTGAAGCTCTCTGCTACAGTGAGGATTTCCTGTGTCTCACTGACAGTCAGTAGATGGCAGCCCCTCTGTTGGCCATAGCGAGGCTCAGGGAGGATGGAGTCCGCTCCTGAGCTGTGACCTCTGGTGCCCTTTCGTGACTTTCGGTGCTGTCTGCTGCAAAAGCAGATAAAGAGGCTGGAGATCAAGAGTTAGGAGAGAACCCCTCAAAACTGCTTTTTAGACAAGAGGTGCTGACCTGCAGGACAGACACATCAGAGGGTGGGTGTGAGCAGAACTATGGGACAGACAGGCCCATGGCCCAGCCCTCTCTCCCACAGCTCCCTGGGAATCCTCACGGGGCCAGTCCTGGAAGCAGTCAGTGCCCACAGCACTGCAGCCTGTGCCTCTGCTGCCAGGAGGCTGAAGACCAGAAGCAAAGGGGCAGCTGGCTTGTGCTGTGGGAGGACCGAGAGGCTGTGCTTTCTCTGCCATCTAGGTCCCCAGGGCCACTTTTGCCGGGCATGCTGGCTCCCACCCCCATGTCCCATCTCATTCCTCACCTTCAGAGGCACAAGTCCGCAGGTTGGGAGCAGAGCTCAGGCGACGTCAGGCAGGTGTGACAAGTGCAGTTTCTGGTCACGCTGCTCTGCGACTCTGAGGACCGTCCACAGAGACTGTGTCCTGGAGGAGCTGCTGTTTGTCCCAGGAGATGAGGTCCAGCTGTCAGATCTGCACCTTGTGTGTGTGGCCTCCGACAGGAGGCTTCAGTAGGTGCAACCAGAGGAGAACGCCGGTTAGGAACCGACCCCCAACTTTATCAGCGTGATGCTTGGCGCGGAGGGAACAGGCACCAGCCAGCTGTCCTGAAAAAGCCTGGGGAGAACAGATGACTCTAGAGGTACCTGAGGGAATGGTGGCTCCTGTGGTCATAACTGCCATGTACCCAGCTCAGGAGTAGACAGACCCACACATTCCAAAAGGCCACGGTCCCCTCGTCCACTGCAGTGCTGTTTTTGAACTGTATATGAACGGAGTCACTGAGTGTCCTATGGTGTTTTATTTCTTTAAATCTGGTTGTGGGCCTGGCCCACTGGATGTGCTCAGTGATCTGGTTTGTTTTCTGTGGTGTGTAGTAGTCCTGTTGGACTGCACCTGCTTCCTGAGGTGATCCCCACTGATGGCCGTGTGGGGAGTGAAGGCAGCGCTGGCTGCAGGGAGACTTGCCTCTGTGACTTAGCAATGTTGGCCCCTTTCCCAGAGCCTTCATCTCGCTCCTTCACCCCCACCGGCAGCGAGTGAGCGTCCCATTGTGTCCTGTACATCTGCCTGAGCCATGAGGCCAACATTTTTCCTAATTGGACTTAAACATTTTGTGAAGCTACTCTGCTCCCCCTGAGAGGTCTGTCCACCTTACTGATTTGTGGAAACACTGCTGTGTTCTGGAAGATAGGGATTTACAGATTCAGGGCTGTATTTGAGACACAGTTGTCCCAAGCTGGCACCAGGAATCAAGCTACAGCATCACAGCACCCTGTCTCCTTCCTCCTCTCCCTCAATGTTGTGTCTGCTCCCTCCTGAGGCGCTCCCATCCCATGCCACTCAATCCCGTCCTCTTGACTTGACCAATGAAAAAGCCACTGTCCGGGCTTCCTGCTGTCATCCTTTCAAGATGGCAATTCATGTGACGTAGCAGAAGCAAGAATCAGAGTGATATGGCGATGGCACAGCTGCTGACACGAGGGGCTCAGCACATTGTGTTCATGCTGTGCCCACCCTCCTCCCTCAGCAGCACCCTGCACCAGCACCCTGCTGCCCCACACCCTACCTGTATATTGAGTTCAGCACCCTACACCCTCTACAACAGACTGGTCTCATGCCCATTTTGCTTTCTTGACTTGAAATGTCTTGTCTTGTTAAAGCAGCGTTAAGCTCCATCAGTGGAGTACAGGGATCTGCTCTTGACTGCCTCAGGAATTGTTTCTGTTGGGTAAAGTTTGACTTAATGGTGAGAGGCTTTACTAGACAGTAATACCAACCCACATTTATGCTACATTGTATGCTGATGATTCTTGCTATGAAAAACAAAGTCCAAACCTTGTAGTTGGTGAATCTGCAGGCCTGGTGAGCAGGGCTCTGCTCGCTTAGCTCTATCAGTGCAGCTCCACTGGGGCTGGGGACTGTTCTGGGATGGCTTGTGCATGTGGTGGTCCCCAGCAAGGAGCTCCTGGGGACTGTGGGTGTCTCTACAGGGTTGCTTGGGTCTCCTCACAGTATGGCATCAGGGTTCTAGGGGGTGAATGTTCCAAGAAAGGGCAAGGTACGTTTCCTGGGACCCAGCCCAGGCAGCAGAACTGCATCCCTTTCTTCTGTGTTCTGCTAATCACAGCTATCACAAAGGCCTCCCACCCCTCCACACCCCCTCCCCCCGATTCAGAGGGAGAGGACAGGAATGGGAGGGTGCTGTAGAGCCCGAGCCTCGGTGGCCCTGCAGTCCACACCTACTAACAGCCTCCTCCCCTGTGCCTTTCCTGCAGCCCTGACTGCCGCTGCAGGGAGAGGGAAGCTGGAGGTCTGCGAGCTGCTGCTGGAACGGGGTGCTGCTGTGTCTCGGACGAACAAGAGAGGGGTCCCCCCACTGTTTTGTGCAGCACGCCAGGGGCACTGGCAGGTACCCTATGGGCCCCCAGAAGTCTTCCAAGATAATGATGGTGACAGACTGAGAGCACCTTTGGCCCAAGCCCTGTCTGTTCCCCACCCCTGGCTTCTGCTTGTGTCATCAGACTTTGCATACAGGCAGACATCTGATGGCGCAGCCAGTCAGCTCCACAGGCCATGGCTGCTCCCCTGGCTTCGAGGGGCTGGAGTGGCTGGGCCCATCGTGGTCAGATTTGTCTGCTGCGGTCACTTTGTAACCTGTTGGTTCAGCGAACTTGAAGAAGAGTTCAGTTGTGCTTTTAATGAAAGCACACATGTATCAGACATGGTGCACATCTGTGATGCCAGCACTCAGAAGGAGCGCTGTGAGTTCAAGGCCAGCCTGGACTACATAGCGAAACCCAGTTGGGGGTGGGAGGGCAACAGTCCACTCACCTACCTGTGCCACGAGCTCTATGGTAGGCACAGTCATCTCTCAGGATTGGTGGACGCGTGGTTCCAGGGCACCAAGAGATAGCAAACACCGCAGAGGCTCAGGTCCCATATGTAAGATGGCTCAGGGAAGTGTTTGCGTATAACCTATGCACATCCTCCTGTATATCTTCAGTCATCTCTAGATGGCTTATAATGCATAATATAATTCAAATGCCATATGAATAATCATTATATTGTATTAGGGAATAGTGGCAGAAAACAATCTATACATGTTCTGCACAGGAGCAATTTTTAAAAACACTCCATCCACTGCTGGCTGAATCCACCGATGTGGACCCCATGAGTACAGAGCGCCAAGTGTGCTCAGCCTCGGCACCAGCACCAGCCCCTGCTCACCCTGCGTTAGGCTGAGATTTCCTGAGTTACCCACTCATGACTCAGTGTGCTGACATCTTTGACCGCAAAAGACAGTTTATGACTGATATGTGGTCTTTGTAGGGACACTAACAAAATGGGCGTGTTCAAGAAGGGTATATGTTTGGGAGAAAAGATTATGTTCAAAGGAATGCAGCCGGAAGGGTTCCAGACCCCACGGGCACACAACTAACTGAAAGGGATTTTTGGAAGAAGGGGGGCAGCAGGAAGACTGATCGGCATTTCTTTCAGATCGTGAGGCTGCTGTTGGAACGTGGCTGTGACGTGAACCTGAGTGACAAGCAGGGCCGGACGCCCCTCATGGTGGCTGCCTGTGAAGGACACTTGAGCACCGTGGAATTTCTCCTTTCTAAAGGTAATGGCAAGTCACCTTGTCACTGCATAGGTCTGTCTTGCATGGACAGACAGCTTTGGCAGACCACTCAGTATTTTCCGCTTCCAGTTTTAAGTCACTGTGTTATGGGAGTTTATTTTTGTTATGGGGATTTTCAAATCCATCTAGCAGAGAAAATAGCACAGCCCATGTGTCCCTTGCCAAGCTTTTGTGGTGGCCTCTCGGCCATTGGCTTCATACTCCCACATCTGATGGGCATAGTTGCCGCCCCTCGTGCTGTGCTGCTGGGGTGCGACACGCGGGCACTGCTCCTGGCTCTGCCTTGGGTCACGTACTCTCCCAGCCTTTCCTCGCAGGTGCTGTGCTTTCTTCTCTTGACAAAGAGGGTCTGTCGGCTTTGAGCTGGGCTTGTCTGAAGGGTCACAAGGCAGTGGTGCAGTATCTGGTGGAAGAAGGAGCCGAGATAGACCAGACAGACAAGAATGGCCGCACACCGCTGGACCTGGCTGCCTTCTACGGTGACGCTGAGACCGTGAGTACCAGACCAGCCCTGGGCGTATCAGACCGCGGCTAAGTGTGATCAGTGTGTGTGCATGGCGTAGACTGTGAAAGTCTAATTTCCTTTAATTCTGTGACATGCAGTCCATCCCAGGATTACTGTGTTGAAGATTTACTGCACTCTTGAAAGCTTAAACGTTATCTACTTACAAAGTAAGAGTATTACAAACACATTCATGAACCTGTATACCCAGTTTCTCTTAAAAAAAACACTGCTTTCAATTTTCTGCTTATATACACAGACACGGAATTCCTGGATGGTACAGTAACTTTTTAATTTTGGGGTTCTCCGTAGTCTTTCCCAACAGCTACACCATTTCATCTCAAATACTTCTGTCTTTGACTGTTTTTGTTTTTGAATAGTACTCATACTAATGGATATGAGATGCTCTCTCATCATTGTTTTGATTTTCATTTCCCTAATGATTAGTCTCTTCCTACGGTTATTATATATCATTTTTGGAGAAAATATCTACCCAAGTCCTTCACAGAAGTCTCTTTTAATTTGGTTTTGTTACTGTTCCTGAGTTTTAGGGTTTTTAAAATATGTTTTAGTTATTAACCTTTCTAGCACCATTTTAAATAACTGGTAGATTTATAGGAAGCAGGTCCCGTTAGAAATACATGAAAATCTAACTGACTACAGGTTTGTTTTCTAGCCAAAAAAAGGGGGGGGGGAGGATTAATTTTGTCTCAATAGATATTTCATGAGATTAAGATTTTGTGCCATGGCCTCAAACGTGCCATCTTTACATGCCAATATTCATCGGGGGATGTCTTTCCTGAGGCTTAAAGTGAATTATATTAGGTCCATCTGATCTCCTGATAATTTTCCCACCTCGTGAGACCGGGGCTACATGAGCTGATGTTTCTGAGGTGCCTGTTGCTGTCCCCTATCAGCGTGCTGGCCCACTGCAGGAGCCCACTTGCTAATTACTGCAGATGAGGAAGTGGCCCCGGAAGTGTGTGGCGTAAGAGTGTGTGCACACAACACGCCCACCTTGGAGTGTCTGCCTGAGCTTCTTGCCATTAGGAGCAAAGCCGCTGAAGCCTCGAAGGTGTTGGCGATGAGCTGTAGCTCTTTCCTCCATTTTGTGTCAGCTTCATTTCCACTCTGATTTCTAATGGCCTGCTCTGTCTGCAGCACGGATAGAGCTAAGCTGCCAGCCCTGAAATCTGACTATGGAGGTGGCTGGGTGGCCACTGTCCTCCTGGTGCTGCTGCTCAGGACTCGTTGTGCCCTGCAGGTGCTGTACCTGGTTGAGAAGGGAGCTGTGATTGAGCACGTGGACCACAGTGGAATGCGGCCCTTGGACAGAGCCATCGGTTGTCGAAACACCACTGTTGTGGTCACATTGCTCAGAAAAGGAGCCAAATTAGGTCAGTGACTCTCTTCTCCATTCAGCAGGGAGAGGCGTTCTGACTTTGAGGGACTTGGGGAGCATAAAGATTGCTGAAGGATGCTGGGTTGCAGAGGGGCTCCCTGTCTTGGTCTCTGTGCTCCTCCCTCTCCTTACCCCTTTTTCTCTCCCCCTCCTCGGTCTCCTTGTCTCATCCAAAATGTTTACATAGCTCACGATACCGCTGCCAGTGTGAGTGGAAAGCAGAGGCTGAGGGTGCTGGGGACACCAGAAGCCACCAGCAGGGTAGATCCAGGCTCTCACTGTGGGGTGGGCCGAGCTCCTGGTGAGTCTGAGGACAGCCTGGCTGTGGTTGGCCAGCTGGGAGTAGGGTGACACGTAACATGCTGCTCTGGGTGTGAGGAGGAAGGGCTGTTAGAGCCTCTGTGTTTGGCTGTGCGAGGCCTTGACCAGGAGCAGTTCCAGGCGGCCCTGTAATGGAAATGATATCTGCTAATATTCTTTAGCCATTCACAACAGCCAGAGCCAGCCTGAGCTGCTTCCCATTTTAATTGGTGCTCCCACAACACTGTAAGTAGGCACTGACAGCACTGTGATTTCACACAGGGAAACTGAGGCACAGGAGGGCTACAAGGTCTCCTGCAGGTCACAGTAAGTGACAGTCATTGTGCATGCCAAGCTGAGCCTCTGAGTCTGCTCTCCACACGCCTCTGTGCAGCGCCCCAGGTGCCAGGAGTGGGGTTAGCGAGGAGGCTGTGACTGTGATGTGGCCAGGAGAGAAGCTGGCCAGGGACAGGGCAGAGGGCTCCAGCCAGGCCACCTCAGAATAGACCTGGCACATGTGCCGGATCTTGGGGACACCAGCCTGGCCCATCGCCGGCATGGTGGGTCTGTGGGAAGCTGGGGAGGGCTCTGAGGCCTGGTTCCGTCTTTTGCCCCTCAGGTCCCTTCTGCGGGGCGGGATGGGTCTCTGTGGCTCTTACGCCTTGGCTCTCGTTACTTTTCCAACAGAGATGGGGTGTGACGGGCCGGGTGTGCTGGCGCCATTCCCACTGTGTGCCTGGCTCCATGTAAACTAAGTTAGGTGCCAGCCAGTGTGCTGCTGCCCACTGCCTTTCCTTTGTCGTGCTGCCGTCTGCACGCACACAGCTGCGTCGCTGCAGTTGGGCTTCTGCTGTTTGTGACATGCAGCTTTGAGGACCACGAGAAGTCCACCTGTTTTCCCCTAGACCTTAGAAGTGCCTCTGAAAGCATGTTTGTTTTGCAGGAAATGCTGCTTGGGCGATGGCCACCTCCAAACCTGATATTTTGATTATACTTTTACAGAAATTAATGGAGGAAGGAAATGTGATGTACAAAGTAAGTGGTGCCACCCTCTGCACTGTCAAACCTGGCTCCCAGGTTTATGTTTATGGCCATAGCAGAGCACGCCGCACTCAGTGATAATGCAACGAAAGGCTGCTGACCTGGCCTCGGCCAGTGTGTGTTCATCTCTCAAAAGTAGAACCTTCTCTAGAAAGCGCTTCTCTTCCTGTCTGAGAACCCTTATTGCTGAACTAATCCTTGAGGCCGTGGCTGTGACTTCCACTTGAATCCGTAGTGTAAAGGAGAGTCACCTCTGGGTCACTTGGCTTTTCCCGTACAAGGTCCCTTGGCCTTCACATTTCCTCAGAGTTCATAGCAAAGCACTGTGACAGTCACATGACACAGAGAGGGGACCACCCAGGAGATACTTTCATTCAGTCTGTCTAGCTTTTCTTAAATCAAAAAAAATTTTTTTTAATGTTTTGAGACAAGAGTCACACTGGCCTTCAACTCATCCCGATCCTCCTGCTTCAGCCTCCCAGGTGTTGGGATTGCAGGTGTGCACCACCACACCTGGCTCCCCAGCCTTTTACTATCTAATATTTAGAAAGTATTTATGAACTTTTAGATTTTGAAACTGTTTTTAAAAACATTTTTCCTTAATGTAGTCAAATCATATATAGTTATTAGCTATTCAGGAGACAGCTAATTTTTTTCCCCATTTTCCCTTAGAAATATGACTTGGGGGTGAATACATTTGACTTTAAATTTCTCAAAATGAGATGTCAGTTGAGATCAAAGGTTGGCGAACTTTCTATAAAGAGTCAGACAGTACATATTTTAGGCTTCACAGGTTACAAGTGTGCAGTGTCTATCACATCTCCTCAGCTCTGCTAGGGCAGCAGAGCATGGCTGTGTCCCAAAAAAACTTTATTTGTAGGCACAGATGGCAGCCAGATTTGGCCTATAGACTGCAGTTTGCCAACCCCAAATTTACATAGAAGTATAGGCCATATACATAGATAACTGCTCTTTCCAAACCTGTTATTAAATAGAATTAAAAATTATGGGAAAAAAAGAAACCACTATATTATTACCATTTTAATCCTTTTTCTTTCTAGGCAGCTGTGTGTGCTGTACTGTAGGTTTATTTTCCTTTTCATTTTTTAATAGTAACAAATAAATAGATATACAGCATAACCAGCAGGGTTCCTGGCTTGGAATCAGTTTGAAATTGAGTTCAGAGTATGTATTGTTTGGGCTTTGAAGTGTTTTTAATATGGATTTTGCTAGGCAATTATGTCAAAAATATCAAGCCATTTTCCACAGGCTGCACACCCGCTGTGCGAGGAGACTGACTGAGCAAATGGATTTCTTTAGCCTTGAAAATGATGTGGTGTTACTGATTTTTAAAGCCCAGGCTTTAAAGCTCTTCTTAAAGGAAACTTACTATTTTGCAGCAAGTGCTTGGTTTCCCCACAATATTCGACTTGCCTTAGAAACAGCTTCATTTTTCATCTTATTTCTATTACACTTGGCACTCAAATATTTTCAGATGGGAGATCATTCTTGAAATAACTTAAAAATGTGTAACTGGGGAGATAATCAGAAGCATTGGTAGTTACCGATTTGGCAGTGTATGCATGCCCTCTCGGAAGCCTCCTTCCTGTGCGGCCCCACGTCGCAGACACAGTGAGGATGGTGAGGGGCAAGAGCACTGGACTCATGCCCTTGGGCTTCAGGCTGCCATGGTGGCTTTACATGAGGGCTCTGGGATGTGGGAGCTTATTCTGCTTTGAGCCCCTGGAATAGGGTCCACTCTGTGGTTTTTGTGTCCTAGAAAGGGAAGATGAAGGAAGCGGCCCAGCGGTACCAGTATGCCTTGAGGAAGTTTCCCCGAGAAGGACTCGGGGAGGACATGAGACCCTTCAATGAACTAAGAGTCTCCCTCTATCTCAGCTTGTCTCGATGTCGGAGAAAAACAAATGTAAGCTGGGCCCTGTTAGCACAGCCTACGCCTTTAGCAGTAGGATCTCCTGGTGGCACAGGCCAGCCTCGCTACAGGGCGTCTTTCACCCTCCTGCAGTGTGGACCTGGCCTTGGGCTGGGGAGCCGCTGCTCTTGATGAGCATCTGTAGGTGCTGGCAGAACACACTTGGGGCAGGTTCCTCTGCTTCCGTGATGAGGAAGCACACAAACTGCTCCTCTGCCCTTCTCAGCAGGGATCTTGCCAGCATCATCACCAGGTGACAACATGAATGTCTGTTGTAGTCTGCCCTAGTGTCCCTCAGGTTTGTTCGGGGGCCTGCCAATTACTTAACTTGTAACTTGTAGATAGGTTAGTACTGCCCACCCTCCTGCCTGCTGCTGCGGCCCAGGCTTCTCTGGTGCTGGCCTCTGCACCCTTCTTCCTCACCTCACCACGCTGACCCCTACCCTGGGCCACTGGTGCTGCTTCAATACGGCATTCCTCAGAATAGGCACAATCCCTGATTACCCAACATTAAAATGAGACTTTGTCTTCATCCCTCTGTAGTTATCCCACTATTCTGCCATCCTCTAGGGCAAAATACCTGTGAAAGAATTTCCTGTAACTATTTCAGTGCCACGTCTGACTCATGTGTTTACCTGTTGACACCAGGACTTTGGTATGGCAGAAGAATTTGCTTCCAAGGCTCTGGAGTTGAAGCCCAAATCCTATGAAGCCTTCTATGCCAGGGCAAGAGCGAAGAGAAATAGCAGGTACCGTCTGGATCACCTTGCTGACTAGAGGAGCCTTTTTGTCTGTGGGATCAAACCTGCTAGTTGAGTGTGAGGAGGTTTAGCTTCACTGGGGTTATTTAGATACTCTCAGCACTCTGAGTAGTAAATTAGTAGCTTCTAAGAGGCATAGTAGTATGTTATCCAAGGCCAAACTTATGTCTCCCAGCATCGTGGTAGCCATCCCTCCCCACCCGTCCCCTGGGTGAGACCTGCTGTACCACAAGCGCCTAGCTGAGACTCATAACAGTGCACTGCCCGCTGGGGACAGGAGGAGGCCAGGGTGAGTGTTGTGAAGGCCTCTGACTTGTAGGCAGGCATGGTGGAGCGTGACGAGGACAACAGGCACAGAAATAGGGCACTCGCTGACCTGTGCGTATCCTCATTCTCAGCCCAGTGTCTTGGGGCCTGAGTCACAGGGATCTGGGCCAGAGTAACTCTGGGCTGAATGGAACCTGCCAGCCACAGCCAAGTGGTCAGACCCCACTTAGCTACCTACTTTTTCTTTGAGCACAGCTGTTTCAGAAAGCTACACTGACAGCCTGTTTGTTACACGGCTTGTAATTGTCTCTTCTGCTTTCGTGGACAGGCAGTTTGCAGCAGCCCTGGCTGACCTGCAGGAGGCAGTGAAACTCTGTCCCACTAATCAGGAAATCAAGAGGCTCCTGGCGCGTGTAGAAGAGGAGTGTAAGCAACTCCAGAGGAACCAGCAGCAGAAGCAGCAGTGCCCTCCGCCAGCCCCGCCAGATGACTCGGATAACGAAGAGGATGTCCCAACCCCTGGGTTAAATGACCACTTTCACCTCAAGGAGGCTGAAGAGGAAGACACTTCTCCACAGGAAGAATCTATTCCGCAGACTTCCAGGTCCCAGCCATCTGCATCTGTCCCTTCCCCATTTATCCGAAACCTTCAAGAAAGCTTCCAGTCTAAAGGCAGCCCGGTGTCGCCACCGAGTAGGGCAGGAGGCAGCAAGTCTCTGAGAGAGACTGTTGCTCAGCCAGGGCTGGTGATGCAGCCCACGAAACAGGCACAGATCGTGAAAACCAATCAACACCTGGGTTCTGTGCAGTCTGCTGTGAGACACAGCAGCACAAAAACACAGGTCTCTTCTCAGAATCCTCCCCCAAGTCCCATGCCAGGAAGAGTCCCTGTAGCTGCCACCAGCAGCAGAAACCAGCAGGTGGAGGGACCAGGTGCCTTCACTGTGGGAGCCAGTTGTGGCCACTTCGGGGATCGGCTGGGGCCCAGCCAGAATGTCCACCTCCAGCGCAGTGAGAGTGGAGTAGCGTATCCCTTACCAAGCAAGATCAAAGCTGCCGAGAAGCTTCTGGCTCATGCTTCTGTGGCTGTGGACGTGGCCCCTCCAAGCCAAGGCGGAGCTGGGAGCTGCAGTGATGGGCGACACCCTGCCTCCCTTGGCAGCTCAGGCTCTGGCTCTTCCGGTTCTCCTTCCAGCAGCATAAAGATGTCAAGTGCAACCAGTAGTTTGACTTCTAGCAGTAGTTTTTCAGATGGCTTCAAGGTCCAAGGACCAGATGCTCGAATTAAAGACCAGGGGATAAGTCAGGTACAGAGTGGCACTGCTGAGCACAGGCCCCGCAGTACTCCATTCATGGGCATCATGGACAAGACTGCCAGGTTCCAACAGCAGGGCCATCCTCCCCACCGTGCCTGGCACTGTCAGGTGGCAGAGGGGCTGCTGACACACACTTCGGCTGCAGCTGGCCTGCAGTCCACTAACTCAGAGAAACCCTCTCTCAAACAAGGAGGAGGATACAGCAGCCAAGCCAAAGCCTGCCCTGTTTCCACCCTGAGTGGAGGTGTCCACAACGGGGCACAGGTGAAGGAGTTAGAAGAAAACAAGTGCCAAGTCCCAGCCCACTGTCAAGACAGCAGGAAAACTAAGAGCGTTTCTCATCTGTATCAGGAAAGTATCTCCAAGCAGGCACCTCATGTCAGCAGCGAAGCCCACAGGAGCCACCTCACTTCAGCAAAACCAAAGCGATCATTCATAGAGTCAAACGTGTAACCTTAAAGAGACCCATCAGTAGAATTCAGAAAACAGTGTGTTCACTCCTGGTGGTAGTTAAAAGGTTTTTCATGATAAAAATTACTTTTTAGCCATATTTTTTTCTTTCTTCCAGGGTGTATCTGATGCCATTGACATATTAAAAATGTAGGAAAAACTCCTGTAATGAGTAGTTAGAGGTCACCATAAATAAAAATGCTAAAAAATTAAAAATTAGCTATACTTATCAAGTTAAAATTTCAAGACAGCCAAGACTACATTAACTTACGCTTTTGTCTTGTGATATTATTTGGTTTTTAATCACTTTTCTTCTTGCCTTTGCTATTTGGTAAACCACAGTACTTAGATGGAAAACAGTGTCCATTGTGGGTAAGTTTAACCCAAACGATGTATCCTGGGAAAGATGGAATTTTCAAGTTTTACTGTCCATTGAGTCAAATCACAATTTTATTTTTATATGTATAAATTAAGACCTCAGTGATTTCTATCTGAATATAAGTGTGATGATAAACATGATAGATTTTTTGGTTATTTTTTTGTTTAAGCAAAATATAAAAACATTAAGTATTATTCCCTTCCTAGCAGTTCTTTTAAAAACATTAAACATTTATTTCTGTATTATGGTTCTTATTCAGAGTGTTTTTACACTGTACTTTTTTGGAACTATATTCATGCTTCAAGGTGTTTTTGATAGGTGGAATCAGAAAAAATTTTGGAATATGGATTGGTGGTTAGATCAGATTTGAGCTTAAAATACTAAGACCAGCATTCCTAGTAGAGCTTTAGTGTCAAGTGATTCTAAAACTGCTTCTAAAAATGCTAACATTTCTGAAACAAGTCTTCCAAAGTCCTTTTAGATAATATTTAAGGAACTGGGAACATAGCTCAACAGCACAGCGCCTGCCTAGCAAGCGTGATGTCATGAGTTTGATTCCCGGTAAAGAAAAAAAATATTTAAATTGGATACTTAACGTATGAGTGGTGGTTACCTTTGTTTTGTTATACAGCCACTACTTCTTAGTCACATGTTGTATATATTACATAGCTGGCCCAGTTTTATTCAGACTTGTAAATATAACTATTTCAACATAGTTAAATCAATTAAAAGCAAAAACAAAGAACAAAACCCCAGCCATATATTTGCATGTTCTTTGTAAACTTCATCCATGCTGGTTATTGCACTGAATAATATGTTATTATGGCATGTTAACAGTATACCAGTAACGGCACTTTATCTCATTTATATAAACACCTATGAGGTGCTAAAGTCCAAACTGATGTATTATTAATCTGTAAAGATAAGGTACAGGAATGAACCTTGCTTTAAAGGTATTTTTATATGAAAATGATGTTTTGGAGGGTGCTAAAATGCTAGTTTGAAAGAAGTGGGAATGTGTTTGTTTTATATGTTGGGATGTGAAATTTATTTTCAGAACTGGGGAGAAGGAAGTTCTATATTTGCAGACTGTTTTAGAAACAAGTAGTTACGAAGTTCCTATGAACATCATTAAGGTTTTGTATGAATAGGTGTCATTCTCAAACATTGTTTCTGAGTATGTATACAGTGTACTTTGTACAAACAGCTTTCTCATTTTTTATAAGCTTTCCATGAGTTCTGCTATAACTACTATGGCTTATTTATTACTTTCTTTAATATTTGTGAAAGTCTTACTCTTTTATTATGTAGTTTTGTTTCTGCACAACTACTGTACTTTTTCCATAAGGAATAAAAGCTATTACTAGAATTGAGTTGGACTCACTGATTCAGTGGATAAGTAGAGAATATCCTGATGACAGCTTCCAGCCTTGTCTTTAATCTTTGTTGCTCTAATGAAAATGGTGCATGCGGAGTGAGATTGTATATGTATACAATCCCAGCTACATGACAAAGCAGATCACCGGTTTGAGGCCAACCCATGCAACTGAGACACAGTCTAAAATGAAAACAGGATGGAGCTCAGTGGAACAGCTTGCCTACCATGTGGGAGCACCTGAGTTCAGTTTCTAGCCCCACACACAAAAAGGAAAAAAACACTTTTTAAGATAAATATTGACAAATGCATATTCAATTTCATTTTATAATTTCAGAGTAAGTGTGAGAGTGCCTAGAAATTCTAAAATACCCCAAACTGAGAAGTAGTCTTTTTGCCTGAATTAGGAAGAAAGCATAAGGAAAGCATTCTATATTTATTGTCTGACTTTACTGGCAATTGGGTATATTTAACACTAACTCTCAAATATTTTGGCAATACATTGAACACTGTTAGGGCTATTCTTCAGTCCACTTGTATTTTAGTTGAAAGTGTGTATTTTTCTCTCTATGCCCATATATTTTGTTTCAAAACATAGTTAATACTGAACTGTGTTGTGTCATGAAGACATTCTAAGTTGGAATATTTACCCTAATAACTACTTTCGGTTATTGTCTGGTTACCACTTTAGAAACCTAGTAAAAGTATTTCTAGTCTTTCTTTAAAGCTCTATGTTTGAGTTAAAAGTTAAATATAGAAGAAAGTGGGGCAGGAGGTAAAAAGTATAACTGGTAATATGTAATTCTTGTCCTGTTTTACTGGAAAGCAACCAGTGTTGGTAGAGTTGCTAACTCATTACATTATGATTGTGATAGTGTCTCAGCAGACTGGGCACTTGGTGATCTGCCCCAGGACAATGTGAAGTATCTTCCGAAGCTGTAAGATGGCACTAGATTTGGCTGGTCCTGAAATGGTATGTGCTGACCCTTTGGATGCTTGACTTTGGTATCTGTGTACATGCATGGAAGAGGGAGTTCTGTGGGTACTGGCTTATGTTTACATAAAAATAGAGGTGCTTCACTTGGGAAAGTTTTCATTGTTTTAAAAGAAAAACATCTAGAAATAACTTTTTTTATTTGCAGTACATAATTATTCATCATAGGGAATGTGTACATGTATGTACCATGTCTTTTTTTTTTTTTTTTGGGTCCCCTTCCACATTCACAAAGGCTCTATTATTTAATTTTTCCCTTCATCTCATTCCCCTTCTCATTTGAACAAATTCTTCCTATTTCCTAGTCTTTCTCCCCCATTCTGCTTACTTTGGAGGTCACACACAAGTGAAGTAATGAAATATTTAAACTTGTATGCCTGATTTAAATTTATGGTTTCAAGGTGCAGCCATTTACCCTAAAAATCCCTCAGGTTTCTTTTATGGCAGAGTAGTACTCCACTGTATATAAACGGTGATTTTCATTATTCAGTCATCTGTTGACGGACATAAAGGTTGCTTCCAAGATTTTGGTATTATGTGCCACTGCTGTAAGCATGGATATGCATGTATCACTGTAAGTGAGTCTCTTGGGAAAATACCTAGGAAGGGAATGGCTGGCTGGCTTAGACTTAACCTCATTTTAGTTTTTTGAGGAATCTCCATACTGTTTTGCATAGTGGTTAGCAATGTATACTCCAATGAACATTCGAGAAGGGTTCCTTTTTTTCCTATAGCGTTGCCAGTATAATCAGTTTCTTGATAGCCTTTCTTTCTGGAATGAAATGGACTCAATGTTTTAATTTGAATGACCAGTAATTGATAGTTTTTTTCATGTATTTATTGGCTGTTTGTACTTCAGCTGGGAAGTATCTGTTAATTTCATATGCCCATTTATGGATTGGGTCTTCAAATTTGGAGGGTTCTAATTTTTTTGAGTTCTCTGTGTACTACTTGTCCTCTGAGGCTGACAAAAAAGTTTTCCCATTCTGTAGGTTGTTTCTTCACTGTGTTGGTAGTTTCCTTTGCAGGTGGTGGTCCCATTTGTTCTTTGTAATATTTCCTGTGCCACTGGAGTTCTATTCTTTTTTTTTTTTTTTTTTGTCTTTTTATCGGTACCAGGGATTGAACTCATGACTGCCTGCTTTCAAGGCAGGCGCTTATGCCGCTGAGCCCAGCCCCTGGAGTTCTATTCTTAAAGTCTATACCTGTTTTTAAGTTTTACCTATTCTGTCTTCTAGCAGACTGTTTTAGTACTTAGATCTCTGGTCCATTTTGATTTTCATTTAGTGCATGGTAAGAGGTGAGTGTGGGTTCAGCCTTCAGCTGTGGATAGACTGTTATCCCAGGAGAATTTGTTAAAGAGGCCATCTTTCCTCCAGCAAAGGTGTCCAGACCCTTCGTCAAAGACCAGTAGCTTAAGTGTGCCTGGAGTTGTTTCTGCTTCCTCTATTCTGTTCCACTGATGCACAAGTCTGGTTTTTTTGCCAATACCATGGTTTTGGGTTTTGTTTTTTAAATCACTGGAGCTTTGTAGTATAGTTTGAAGTTTGGGATTATGGTACACCCCCTTTCCCCTCACACCCGTCGCTCTTGTTGCCCAGAATTGCTTTTGCTATTCTAAGTCTCTTCTGGTTCCATATGAACTTTAGGATTAGTTTTTCTCTAGCTCTGTGAGAAAAATACTATTAGTATTTTGGTTTGAATTGCATTAAATCTGTGTAAGTTTTGGAATTATGGTCATTTTCACAGGTTCTGCCTATCCAGAAACTGCATGTATTTTCCCATTTTCTGGTATCCTCTCTTTGGTCTCCTTTTTCAAAGTACTATACTTTTCATTGTAGAGGTCTTTCACTTCCTTTAATTCGTAAGTATTTTGTTTTTCTTGGTGCTCTTGTGCCACTGTTTCCCTAATTTCTCTCTTGGTGAATGTCACTGGTTTACAGGAACACTTGATTTTTAAGTGTTGGCTTTGCATCCTGCTACACGACCAAATTTAGTTACTAATTCTAGGAATCTTTTGGTGGAGTTTTGGGAATCATTTAAATTTTGTTTTCTCGCAATGACTTTGGAAATGTTTTTTACTACTACTTTTTATGTAAAACACAGCCAACATCCTTTGGACAAAAAGTACTGCTTTAACAAAACAAAGAGACAGATGATCAAATGGTAGTCTCTATTAGAAGTGTTACCATACTTTCTTTATAGAATTAAAAGAAAAAACCTTACAATGTTACCGGCTTTCTTGTCCACAAGGAACAAATATGCAGTATGAAAAAATTACATTTCTACAACAAAAAAATTGTCTTTTTTCCTTTTTTATCGGTACTGGGGATCGAACTCACGACTGCCTGCTTGGAAGGCAGGCACTTATGCCACTGAGCTAAATCCCCAGCCCCTTCTACAACAAATTTAATTCTAGTTATGACACAAAGGAAACACTGTGGTTCAGTAAAATTCACTGTAAAAATTCTTTACAAATCAATAATTATAAAGATGTTATTTGCGTATTTTGTAGTAGCTAGGTTTGCCATTGTTCTATGAACACAGTGTATCAGGTATGTTTATAAAATACAAAAAAATGCTAAATATATTTATATTGCTTTTCCCTTTTTAGTTTGAGTTTTAATATTGAACACTGCCAGAGTGTGTTCTGGTGGTGACTTACTTTGCTTGCTAGGGGAACAGAATACCAACACCCGTAAGTTAAAGAGGTTTATTTTGGCTCATGGCTTGTAAAGGATTTAGTCCCACAGCGTACTGGCTCAAAGGCAGTCAGGGGGTATGGGGGAGAAAAGCTGCGCATTTCATGGTAGTCAGGAAGCAGATAGAAACGAGGAAGGACCTTCCAGGTCACAGGCTTAGTGACCTGCCTCTACACACTAGGGCCCACCTTTTAACACATCACTAGGAATTCGCTGATGGATTACCCTGATTATGTGATGCAGTCACCTTTGAACTCTGAACATATGAGGCCTAGGGGTGGGTAAAACCGTAAGTGACGGCACTGAGGAGTAGAGTCAAAGTCCTTTCTGGTCCCTGCCTGCCACTGCAATTTTGTTCCAACAACCCTCCAAATAAAGTCTACCTCACTGAAGTTTTCTTGCAGTGAACACTAACCAGTGGTAGTGGTAGTAGTGTATTTTTACATTAGCTTATCATGTAAAGAGCGCTGATAAGTATCCCAATCTTATGGATGAGCTTATGGCAAAGGATTAAATAAAAGAGACAATGTTTTGTATGCTTTGTGAAGGTTGAGGAAGGTCAATGTTCTCTTGGAACTGAGATAAAGACCTCTGGACTGGCCAGTTTATTGGATCCTTAACAGTTCACTGGGGTGCAGGAAGTGGAGGACACATCTGAGGCAAAAGATGCTTGAAAATGAACAGGCAGTATTTAGAACAAAGATACTCCAAGCAGTAACTCTTGGTCATTGAGACAATTTTATCAGCTCTAAGGTTGGCAGTTAGGCCCTTGAACTCTTGAGTTTAGTGTCCTTAGCTGTGGTCTTAGCTGGCCTTTAGAGACTAATCTGTGAGAATCTCAAGAATTCTAAATTTTAAAAGGAGGCTAGTTTACTACTTTATGTATTTCAAGCAAAGTAAATTTGACTTACTCATGATTTAACCTGCAAATTTAGAATCCAACAAAATTGTCTATTAAACATATCAGAAGTGCTTTTCTCATTGAGCAGCTAAATTAGTTTCTAGATGGCTCTTAATTGGGATATAAACTAGGATGCAAACATCTGTTATATTCTAAGGTATTTCAATCTTTTAGTTACAAGGTCACGTCTCATTGTAACTAAGAAACATAAATATGGGCATTACAATTTAAAGTGAAAGCAAAACTTCATATTTATACAGATTAAGATTCTTTTCAAGGCTACCAAAAGCCTTTTATAGTAAAAACAGAAATGAAGTTAGATATGTTAATTAGGTACATGTCCTCTAAGGAATAAAAACTGACAATTATAACTAAATATAATGCTTAATATTTGCTTTTAAATCAAAGGAGATCAATGAAAACATAAATATTACAATATAAGCTATTTTATTTTTGATGTGTCTCTAGCCAGCGGTTGATGGCCATTTTCAGAGTCCTGTTTGGTGTAAGTACTACTGAAGGAAGAACAAGATTTGTCATGGGACTTGTACGTTTCTTTTTGCTGATCCAGTTTTCCATTGCATCCTTTTCATAGGAATAGCCATCTAAAAAAAAAAAAAAAAAAGACATTTGAAATGTAAGAAAGAGAAGTTAAACTGGGCATGGTGGGGTACAACTGTAACTTAGGAGACTGAAGAGGGGACCAGACTAGGTTACACAGTGGTTCAAGGCCAGCCTGAGTTCTGCTTATGAAAAATTTCCCTACTTTTAATCAAAGAATTTGTGAGACTTGAAAGGCTTTGGGTTTATCTTTAGATTTTGGATTCATTTAGAATTTATATGCACAATATAGGAGGATCAGATCCAGTTTTTATTCTTTTCCACATGGCTGTTCAGTTGACAGAATACCTCTGACTTAAAATACTACCTTTATCGCTAAATTTCCTAAACCATTTGTATCAATGTCTGGATTTTTAGGGATTATTTTACACTGGTATATTTATGTGCCAATAATACCACATTTTTATTTATGGAGACTTTGTAATGTATTATATCTGATAGGGTTAGCAGCTTTTTCACTGTTCTTTTCTATGTTATTTAATCTTTTTAAATGGAACTTAACAATAAACTTTTGTGTCTCTAGGGGGTAAAATGTGTTATGAGAAGCCTGTTAAATTTATGAACTGGAAAAAAAATATCTTGCTGACATTGTCCCTATCTATGAGCCTGTTCACATATATTTTAACCCCTGGATGTTCTATAGTTTTCCTAATGTAGTTTGGGTAAATTTTACCTATTTTTAATGTCTAAGGAAATAAGCTGAATGATAATTCATTTACTACCAGGCTAGATAAATCTCTAATATAGTAACCACATGGTTTCTTATTCAAGGTACAAAGACCTTGAGAAACAAACAAAAAACAAATTTCTAATAGTTCACTGAGGTGACATAATGCTATTTGGTTTTTGTTTTGTACCAGGATCAAACTCATGACCTTGCACTTGCCAAGCAGACTCAGTGCCACTGAGCTATATTCCTGGCCCAGCTATTTATTTCTAGTGGTGCATATGTATGGATAACATTTAAGTATGCCCCATATGTGTTCAGAACTTGGTATATTACTAGTTTTTTGTCTATCTGGATCTATTTTAACTCATTTGATCACAAGATTATGCGAAAAGAGGCATACTTAAATATTCTAGAAAAATTCTGTTGTATTAAGATTACTTTTTCATATTCATAAAATATTCTGATTGGATGATTGTGTTTTTGGACATATATCCCACACTACCCCCCAAGTAATAGTAACACAACGGAATGTGTGATATAAAAGTCTACAAATATATATACATCAACTACTAGAAGAATCAAACACAATGAATGTAGCCCAGTGTCACACAGCTATGACAAATGAAAAATACATACATTAAATCAATGTTAAAATATGTGTATAATAAAAGTTTTAGGCCAAAGTTAAAAAAAAAAGCTCAGTGAAATGCATGTTGATTATAATTAGGTAAAGTGTGTGTATATGTGTAGACAATGGTTAGAAATTCATATGGAGAGTTACAACTTCATAAACTTTTAAGTTCTTGTTTCTATATAGTGGTTTAAATTCATGAAGGACAAACATGAGACTGCCACAATCTACCTTAAAAAATGGTATTTTATCCTTACATTCCACTAATACATATTTTACAAATTTCACTAAAACTTCAAAATTTAATCCTTTTGTCTCAGCTCTAAATCTATGCTATCCAATTTTATTATTAAATATAAAATGATCACTCAGGCCTAATGAGTTATTACAAAGAAAATAAGTATAGGAAGTCTGAAAACCCTCCCCATTTAAGCAAACTTCTATGAACTATCTGCACTATTTATTCATTTAGCACATCACACCCCCCACAGCTTAGAAGCCATTATACATACCTGATGCAATGACAGGATCCTTCATCAATTCTCTAGTTATTGGACATATAAACTCATCAGGAATGTCAGAAGAAAGGCATTTCGCTTTGGTCCTAAGCTCTTCAATTTTCCTCAGCACTTTACTACGCAGCCCTAGCGACTCTGAAAAGAAACTTTTCTGTTACATCTGGAGAACTACTGGTAATCTTTATACAACTATTAAGCAAACATTTTATCTACTAAAACCACAAGTCTTCTGATACACTTTACCACACAGAAATGTTTTTTCTAATGAATTCCCATATGAATCTGTGTAATATAGAATACTCTATGGTTAAAGTAGGTCCCCAGCTAGTAGGTACCTTATTTTAAACCCTAGATTGTGAAACTGAAGAATTTCAACTGCTAGAAACTAAAATACTTCATAAAGTCAGAAAAGGCTATTACTGGCTTATTTATACAACATGGGCTACAAAATGCCTGTTAGAATACATTCTTAGCATATGCAAGGTGTCATGTGTTTGATCTGCAGAACCAAAAATCAAATGTATTAAATCTTGCTTACATAAAAAAATTCCTAAAAATAATCTGTATTTAGATTAACAGTATCAAACCCATGTCATATAAACAATGAAACAATATACTGCTGATTTTTATATGAAACACAATCACAAATAAAACTTACCTGTTTGTCCAAAACTATGCATGTTTTTTAATTTTTAAGAATTACCTTAATTTTAAAGTTTTTGCATGTCAAAAGAAATCTCCAAAGAGTGAAAAGAAAATCCATGAATTGGGAAAATATCTTAGCCAACTGTCCCTTAGACAAAGAATTTATAAATTCTAGAACATATAAAGAATTTAAAAATCAGATCCCCAAAATTCAAAGACCCAATCCAAAAATGGGCATCTGAGATGAATACTCACTTCTTAGATGAATAAATACAAATGGCAAATCATGAAAAAATGTTAAACATCATTGGTCATTAGAAAAATTCAAATTAAAACAATGCTGAGATTCCATCTCACTCCAGAAAGAATGGCCAAGATAAAAAAAAATCAACCAATAACAAATGCTAGAGGGGATGTGGGGAAAAAGGAACTCTTCTCCACTGTTGGTGGGAGTGTGGAAATCAAGTGTGGAAGTTTCCCAAAAAGCTAAGATTAGCAGTTCCATTTGACCCAGCTATCTTGCTTCTGGGAATATTTCCAGAAGAATTGACAACATCATACCACAATGATATATGTGCACCCACGTTTATAGCAGCACAGTCTGTAATAGCCAAATCTTGGAAATATCTCAAGCGCCCATCAATGGAGGAATGGATAAAAAAGATGTGGTATTTTTATACAATGTAGTAGTATTCAGCTATAAAGAAAGATTGCAGGGCTGGAGATTTAGCTCAGTGGCATAATTATCTGCCTGGCAAGTGCCAAGGTTGAGTTCAATCCTCGGCACAAAAAGAAAAAAAAAAAGATTGCATTGAGGCTTTTATAAGTAAATGGACACAACTTGAGACCATAATCATAAGTGAAATAAATCCAAACTCACATGTATAAATACCATATAGTCTCCCTAGTGTAAGAAACTGAAAGAGCAAATACAATCTAAAATCTAAAATATGTATTATATAAGGGTAAAAAAACTGCTCAAAGAGGATGGGATGGGAAAGGAAGAAATAAGGAAAAGAAAAAAATGCATAAATTTGTGTATATATACACAACATAGCTAAGATAGTGCACTTGGAAAAGAACAGTTAATCCTCATATGATTAGATCAATTTTGCATGTCTATCTGGCAATCTAAGCAACCCTCCTGAAGGTAATTATGCAATGTTACAACCACTTCTTATCATCTTGTTTTGAAAACTTAGACTGCTATTGTTTTGGGTTTGTTGTTGTTTCTTTTGCTTTTTCTTTTTTCCGTCTTTTCTCTTAAATTAATTTTAAAGTCTAATTAATTTTAGGAAAATTAGTGTTATTGACTATTACATTTTTAGAAATAATTCACAGTTCCACTTTAGGCTTGAGTGTTTTGGGTGAACAGAGGAATTGTATTTCAGAATGCTTCATAGTTGCCACCTAAAGCCAAACCAGCTTTCTTTGTTGGGAAGTAATTTCCAATTGAGTTATACGTATCTGTGGATATCTTTGCTCTATATAATCTTTTCAAGGATGTTGGCAAGCATCCTTGGAAGATGGAGATACTATCTTCTTTCCTAAGGAGAAAGCAGGTTTGTTTCCTAACCAGTAAAAAGACAGTGTTTTCCTCTTAGGCCAGTTATAATGGGCCAGTCCCATCGTAAAACTGGGGGCTTTACCCAGAGGTGCAAGCTTGTAATCCCTGAAGGTTGAGCAGGAGATCAAGTTTAAGGCCAACCAAAGCAAACTTAGTCACAAACCAAAACATAAAAGGGCTGGAGCTATTGCTCAGTAGTAAGAGTACTTGCTGCCTACCATATGTGAGACAAGTTCAGCTTCCAGTACTGAAAAAAAGAATTGGAGGTTTCACAAACTTCAGGATTCTCCAATTGTGCCATAAATACAAATCGCCTCCATGTGACTTAGAGGAAAGAGGGAATCAATTAAAACATGAAATTCATGTCTGCCTGCCATAAGTAATGAACTGTTCAATCCTATTTGGGCTTGTTGCCCATATTTATGTAAATGTAGCAAGTTAACAGCAGTGGCCTGCTGCTTTGCAATTGCTCTCAGGACTTTGTTCCAATGTAACTAAAGCGCTTTAAAACTTTTAAGTACAGTATACCAATTTCCTTACATGTGGATTTTGCAAAAATCATGTCAGAAAAAAATTATGATACTGCACTGAAATTAATCTTTCCAGTATTATTCCATTCATAATGATGCATTTTCCAAGGATTACCTGAGCTGTGTATTTCTGTCAAGCAAACACAAAGGAGGGTTTAAGGCACTTAGAAAAATGGGCCATGTCCCTGAAGCTAAAAGAGGGAAAAAGAGTAAAGACAGGTAATTTAAACCAGTGGGTAAAATCAACAGACTGAAGATTTTGATAAATTCAAGATATACAGAGGCAAAGATATTAGGTATTAAATGGCAGGAAATCTACTGTGAGTGGGATGTATTTCCCAATAATTTGCCAAATAAAACTCCTCAATGTTCACAGGTCTTGATAAACTGTGAGTATTTGTAGAACATGTTTACAATTAGAAAGTAGCCATCCTGCTTATATAAGGATATGAGCACTCAATATTCTGAATAAAAGTATACTTTTCTGACAAAAATATTATGCACATAAACTAACATGCAGAATGCTTATAATATTTGTAACAGAAAATACAGAAAGCCTAACTGACAATTTCCCAGATAAGAAAAGGCTAAGTTGGGTATTACACCTGTCCAATTTCAATGTCACTTAAAACTGGAAAAAGATCACCTTGTCTGTCCTCAAGAAGCATTACCAGACCATTTTCACAAAGGTTAGTCAGAAACAAATACCTCCCTTTGTCACTAAGCCCAAGTTTCTCAAGAAAAGACCTTTACCAGCTAAGGACTAGTAAACCCTTTTGGTAACTTCTGGACCCAGAATGAATAGTCAACAAGAGAAGACGTAAAAATAAAATTTAAAATGGGAAACACAACTATAGGGACAGTTCAGTTTTTAAAGGATTTAGAGAAGTTAGTGATAAAAGCAGTATAGAATTTTAATTCCCTGATTCCCAGTATAAAACAGAGAATCTAGATGGCAATCTCAAATCCTACAGACATTTTCAACAAAACAAGACAACAATATATCCTCATGAACCAAATGTTCAATTACTTAATGGTATATGCACCAGTTATACAGATAACATGTATTAATTTGTACTGTAGGGTCAGGGATATAATATAGCTCAGTGGTACAGCATCTGCCTGGCAAGTGTGAGGTTCTGAGTTTGATCCCTGGCACCAAAAAATGAAAACAAAAACAAAACAAAAAAATTGTACTGTGATTTTTCAATTATGTATTAGTTTTCTGCTGCTGTGACCAAATACCTGAGATAACCAACTTACAGGGAAGAAATTTTTACTTTGGCTCTGGGTGTCAGGCATTCCAGTCCATGGTTACCTGGTCCCATTTCCTTTGGATTTGTGGTAAGGCAGAACATCATAGCAGGAACATGTGGCAAAGGAAACTACTCACCTCACAGCAGCTAGGAAACAAGAAACAGGGAGGAGCCGGAGTTCCAATAATATCCCCTTAAAAGGCATACTCTTAATGTCTAGGTCCTATCTCTTAAAGGTTCCACAATCTCCCAATATCACCACACATTGGTAACCAAACCTTTAATTTAGAGGCCTTTAAAGGAAACCTACTCAAATCATAAGGAAACAAGAAAAAGATTTTAAAAATCTCTTATGTGCTTTTGATTTCCTGGAAAAAAGAAAGAGCAAAAGGAAAGTGAACTCTATGAAAAAATTTCATTCCGAAATTAGGAATGTATGAATAATGATTATTTAACTATCAGAGTTAAATGCTAATATGATACACAGTAATTTCTTGGCATTTTTCAATGTAAGTTTCCAAACTCCAAGATAGGTCTCAATCTGCAATATTTCCACTGCTCAGCTATAAACTGAGGCCAATGTATAAACAGAAGTTGCCTCGTTAGTGGACTTACTGTTTTCCTAAATTAGATCTAATTCTGGCTCTCATGTTCTTCACTTTTTTTTTTTTTTTGGTCTTTTTCCTTTTTATCAGTACTGGGGATCGAACTCACGACTGCCTGCTTGCAAGGCAGGCGCTTATGCCACTGAGCTAAATCCCCAGCCCCTTGTTCTTCATCTTTGATACTTCATGCTTTTGAATGCAAAACTATTACCACATGTAGCATTCACAACTTTATGGATTCAGAAATGTTAGTAGAATACACCTCTCTGGACATTCCTCACACAAATGTAAGGAGTTATTTCCTAAGAAAACTGTATGTCTGTTGTATCCTGAATTTTTAATTAATCACCCTAGAGAAATGACTGTTCTCCTGGATGAAAGCATGAGATTCAAACATATTTAAGCATGCAGAAGTTCCTTAATTGTACATTTACAAAAGGTCTATTGCTCAAATTCTTAATAATTTCAGTGTCAAACACAATGAATCCACTTTGATCTGCAACACTCCAGTGTATTTTACTATACAATTAATTAACTTCCTTCATGTCTGAATGTTAAGCAAATTCAGGTTTATTTACCCTGACAGAACTGTTTTAACAGTTATACCACAAGACAATACAAGCAAAATAGTTATGCACGTAAGTATCACTGGCATGTATGTGAGTTGGTTTGCCTCTTACATTTATTTTGACATAATTTTAATTCTGTATTAGTTCAATTTAATATTTTGAGGAGAGGTGTGCGTTATGGTTTGTGTCTAGATGTTCCCTCAAAGCTTCATGAGGTCATAGGGGTTTTTTTCCTTCAGAGGTAGCTGAATTTAAGTGTGTGATTGATTCATAAGGCAATGCTAGGAATAAGGATGCTGGGATTGGATTGGCACCACCCTAATCCCATCAACCTGGAGTAGATAGAAGGGGCAGAAAGAAGCCTGTTTTGCTCTTATGTATCTTCTGTTGCCATGAACAGCTGACCATTTGCCTCACTACCCTGCCTTGGAGCCAGTGGACTATGGACTGAAACCTCTACTGTGAACTAAAACCTTTCCTCCTTTAGCTTTGGGTGTCAGGTATTTATTTCAGCAATGAGAGAAAAACAACTAAGACAGTGTGTTTTTCTTAAAATTAAATATCTAAGAAATTTATGATAGCTTAAAATAACACTTGTAGTTAAAGTAGCTTCTTAAGCCCTTAGAATGAACATTTTACAAAATCTCAAGATAATTCAGAATGATAGCAAAAAATAGACATTCTGTTCACTTATTCTCTACCTAATGTTAAGTCTGTTAAATTTACAAACTTTAAACACAAGCACAAAGCAGAATTATTAATCAGAGAATGTGCACTACTTTTGTCTCTATTCACAGTGGTTTTTCAAATTCATCTACTATCACTACTGTTTTTGTACTTTTATTACATATTCCAGTTTTGGCTTGCCCATTAATACTTCCAAAACTCATTATACTGAAGTTTAAATCTGAGACTCAGTCTTCACAACTATTTCAGGCCATTAAGTGAACACTGTATTTTATTATTTAGCAATAAAAACAGAATTATGTTTCTATTAATTATTACAATTCTCTTATGTTTTTAAAAAGACCTTTGTTCCAAATGAAATTATTTCACACCGCTAGGTACTTCTGCTTGCTAGCGAGAAATCAATTGAGATGCTAAATTTCTCTTGGGAGAAAAACTGACCATTACCCACTCTCAAGAAGAATAAATTTTAGAGGAAATCTGTTATTAGAGATACAAAAGTAACTTTCATGTTATGGCCTAAACATAGTACATAACCATTCTCAATCCAAACATTTTCAAAAGAAATCATTATGCTAACATCTTAAAATAATGCTATATTTTACAATGATTTTTCTGTAACAAATACTGTATTTTTCATAACAACAAACATCAACATACTCTATTTCCAGGGTTTTCTGGTTAACTAGGATTTTATTATAACACACTGATAATACAGTCTATGTTTCTTAGAATAAGGCTCAGAGTCCCAACTTTACTCTGTTGTCTCTGGGCTTGGTAAGGCAAAGTCTTATGGCAGAGAAAGTGTGGAGGAAGAAAGCTGCTCACCTTGTGACAGTTAGGAAGCAGAGATAGTGACAGAACAGAACCAGAGAACAGGTGCTGGTGAACAAGGTCTAAAACCTCTAAAACTGTGAGGCAAAATAAATCTTTTCTTTTTTATTTGATGTTCTCATGTATTTTGTCACAGGGATGAAAAATTAACACAGACAATAAGACATTTCCATGAGAAGAGTGCAATCTTTTCAATAAATGATTTGGGGACAACTGGATATCTATATGTGAAGAACTAGAAGGATCCCTGCTTCACACCATATTTAAGTCAAAATGGATCACAGATCTACATGTAATATCTAAAACCTTAAGGATCATAAAAGAAAACAGATATAAATCTTAAAGACTTGAGATTAAGCAAACATTTTAATATGGCATCTATAACACAAGTAACAGTGGGAAAAAATCCAATGAACTTTATATCAAAATTTAAAACTTTTGCATACCAAAAGACATTATCTATAGAATAGTAGGGGAAAAATTGCAAATCATATATCTTAGTATCCAGAATACACAAAAAACTCTCACAACAATAAAAAGACAACCTAGATCTTGAAGTGGGCAGAAGAAAATAAATGATAAGTAAGCACAGAAAAAGACGTTCAACATTTGCTGTAGTTGGAATCTGTGTATCCCCAAAATTTATATGTTGAAACCTATTCACCAGTATTACAGGGTAACGCAGTGGGGTGTTTGGAATATAACTAGGTCATGAGGGTAGAGACTCCATGAACTAGATTACTGCCTTTATAATCAGGACTCCCACAGAGCAAATTTCTACCAGCCAAGACACAGTGGGAAGGCACTATTTATAAAACCAGGAAATTGTTCCCCACAAGACACCAAATCTGTCAGTACCTTGTTGTTAGACACCCCACTTCTAGAACTGTAAAGAAAAAATTCTATTTATAAGCTACCTAGTTTACATGACTTTGTCATGTCAGCCAAATGAATTAAGACAGCATCATTACTAATTATAAAAATGCAAATCAAAACTTCAATGAGAAATCATTTCACAACCACTAAGACAGCTGTAATTTAAAATGCAAACAAGTACTGTAAAGGATGTGAAGGAACTGGAACCCACATATACTACCAGCAGAACATAAAACACAGTTGCTGGGGCTGAGGATATAGCTCAGCGGCACAGGTGCCTGCCTGGCAAATACAAGGTCATGAGATCAATTCCCAGTACCCAAAAACAAAATAGACAACAACACAGTTGCTTTAGAAAACAATCTGGCACTTCCTAAAATGATAAAGTAATGGATTACCCATCAATTCTATTTTTAATTACATATATTACAGACCCCCCCCCTAAAGCCTGAAAACTGATGTCACACAAAATCTTGAGTAACTGTTCACAGCACCATTATCCTTAAGAGCTAAAACACAGAAGTAACCTGAATTCTATCAACTGATGAATGAATAAGCAAAATGTGATAAATACAATGCAGTATTAGTCATAAAAAAGAATGAAGTATTGATACAGACTAAAACATAGATTAATATTGAAAATATGCTAAGGGAAAGAAGCTACACATAAAAGGCCACATACTGTATGAGTCTATTTAGATGAAATTCAGTAACAGAAACTATGACAGAAAACAGATTAGTGGTTCCAGAGGCTGGAGAAAAGTAAAACAGGAAGCGACAGCTAATGGTTACAGGATTTCTTTTTGAGGTAATGAAGATATTCTGATATTTAGTAGTTGTTGTGGTTGTATACACAAAATAACTATTGTATACTTAAGTGAATTTTATGATACATGAACTATTAAATTTTTTAAAATGTGAGTTTTTAAATTATAATTACAAGGTACCTAATTAGATGCTTATAACATATTTTCTTCATAACCGAGTAAAAAATTTGTATACTCTCTTATACAAAGACATATACTAATCAGTGTGCTAGAATATTGAGAAAAACCATGACAAACAAATCAATTACAGAGCAAAAATTAAGCCATTTTTAAGATTGCCTAGATTTCATGAAACTTACCAATTTTCAAATCATCAGCCAAACTTTCTTTTGTAAGATTCAACAGTTCTTTTCCATCAATGTTATTCATCTTAAAAATACCAACAAGGTCTTGTAAACCCTGCGCACAAAGCCATAGCGAGACATCTTCCTCTGACCAATCTTCAGTAAACTGTTTCAGCTGATCTTCCACACTCTTTGCTTAAAAACAAATAAAAAGGCAAATGAAATAAGAACAAAGTGTTTCTTTTATAAACATTGCTAATCTGAATTACAAAGTAATGTTATTTCCTCAAATTTGTGTTTTGCTACTTTACCTTTAAGAATCCTCCTCCAAAATACTACTATGTAGAAAGTGTTATTCAGCACTATGTTAAGCATCACTCTTTTTGAACTACTGCTTCACCCCAGAAAAACAATCTTTATTATCTAAAATACCAGCAAAGATATTCTATTTGTTCTATCATCTACATATGAGCACCACTATTTGGTTACTTCTGACAGTGATAAAACATCTAAACTATGTGCCAATATTATCCTGATGAAGTAAAAAAGTTGACAAAATACTTATAATTTCTCCCTTGTTTTTAGTCTATGTCTATCTAAGAAAATTATTGTGGAATATAAATAAACAACTTACGAAAGCACTAGAAGTATGATATATATATATATATATATATATATATATAAATGTGTACTCAAAAGCATTTGCCAACATTTTTAACACTAATTTCTCTAAAATCAGTGTTAGATTTAGATTACATTAAATCTGAATGTATTTTATCTTAAGAAAAGCAATATAAATAACTTGAGTTATTAAATTTCAGGGTAGGGTATAGACTGGTGGTAGAACATTTGCCTAGCATTAATTAGGAACTGAGTTTGATTTTCAAGCCAACCAAGAAAAAAAGAAAAAAGTTATTAAATTTCTGATTTTAATCATTAGCAAGGTTAAAGATGAGGTCCTTACTAACCTTGGCAAAGTGTTTCCATGTCAAACTGCCAGATGTTCACTGTTTTGTCCATTGAACCAGTAGCAAGTAAGAGAGTATTGGGTGCAAAAGCACATGTTGTGACGTACCTAGTTAATAAAAAATGATTACATATCTTCTAATTTTAAAATTTTATTAATAAAAAAGAGATGAAATTCAGACCTGGTATGTTCAGTCAATGTATGAAGTACATTCTGAGAATTCTGGGAGGAAAAGAAAAACAACACAATGAGTTTTATTTTCACTCAGGCAAGAGAAAAGTTACCTATATAGATTCACCTTAGTGGTTTATATGCTATATGTATTCTAATACTTATTATCAGCAACCAACATAAGTTGACAGTTCACTCAGTGAATAACAGAATGGCACCTAACTATTAGTTAATAGTAGTCAGACACTTATTTCACTCTTTTTCAAACAAGGTTGTTGTCTACTGGCCATCTTAGTTTTAGCAAAGCAGACCCTTTGCACTCACTGACTTGTTGGAACTTACTAGTAGTAACCCAAATGTCTATTACATCAAATAATCGTATTTTAGCTATGGCATTTGACTTGACACAGTGTACTTAGGTTGGCAGTCAACTTCGTGCATGTATTTAACTGGGACTTATCTACATTTTATAGAGAAAAACTAATGTAACTTTTTTGAATGCAGAAAACTCAGCAAATCTGATGAGAAATACTAAGGATATACTCAAGTCTAGCTTGAGTATTCGTTCCCATTTCCTGCTAGAACTTTGAAAGACTTGTGTGTGAAGGACTAGTTTAGATTACCAGCTGGACCCACTATATGGTTCATATCTCCACTGATTTGCTAGCAGAGTTATTGCCTGAACTACACCATCATAAGGCTCTACTCAAAACTGATTTTTCTCTGGCAAGCTGTTTTCATCAACTACACCTTTCTTATATGTAAAAACATTCATTTTTCTTCTTATACAACTCAGTCTTTACCAAACTGCAAGTGGTCTATCAAAACTTCCAATTTTTTCAAGTCGACAATAACCTATTCCTTCTCACGCTTGTCTCTAAATCGACTACGATAGCACTCTTAAAAATGGTAGGCCACTTTCAACTCTACTCTCTAAAATCCTTGGGGTAGCCATTCATTCTTTGCTATAATGGACCTGGTATAAAAGTTCAATAATTGACTGAAATTGGACATTGATGCTTTTAAATCTTTCCATCTTAAAATCATTTTTGAAATATTTAAGGGCTTCTCCCAGAACCAATACCTTATTTGCATAACCAGTTTAGCATTTGTGAAATGCATATTCCATATTCTTGAGCATGCTAAATACAAAAATATGTACCATTTCTATTATGCCTAGCTAAAACTGAAGTTCAGTTGTCTAAACATAATTTAGGTTGGTCACACACACAAGATTTTGAAATACTTACTGTATCATATATTATGACAGACTTATCCACTGATCTTCAAAAGAAAAAAAGAAATTATAAATGAAAAGTTCTATAAAACAAAGAACATGTACATAATTAGTATTTCTAAGTCATTTTAGTAACTCTTTTTTTAAAAAGGCTGAAATAGAGATGTACAAAGGTATTTAAAACTCAATCTCTTCTGCTTATTCAAAACTTTTATTCAAACCCTCGGAAATATGTAATTTATCAGAAAATTATTATCTTTATTAAAACAACACCATATGCTACTTAGGCATCACAGACATAAACAGAAAAAATATCTGTGACATATACCCAAAACAGAATTCCATTATCAAGTTAGTAACTCAGAGTAAAAAATCGTTATAAGGAAAACATACCTGTTACTGACTTGTTTCAAACACTGCCATTGACATGGCTATGGCTTAATTCCCAATTAATGTACATATGTTTTGTGACTCATTTTTGAAAATTATAATTCTAAACTTTATGTTGACAACATGGTTTCTTTTAATTCTTTTAAAATTAAAAGCAACCATAGTATAACATTAGTATTTGTACTTATTATTAGTTAAAAGTAGCTGACTGACTGACAAGAGTCAGACTTGCAAGAAAGCTTAAAATTTTGTTAAGTAGGTCATCCAGTGTTGAAGATTACATCAGAGCCCTGTATAAATTCAAATTAGGAACTACAATTAGAAATTCAAACCTAAACTAAAATATAAGATGAGAAACATAAAATATATTCTGGATGTGAAAAACCATCCAAAACTGAGAATATTAGCAACTACGTAAGTATGTACACACAAGACGTAATTTATAGATACTCCTATGGTCCTAACTTCCTCAAGGTACAGGTTTATTACTTCTGGAATATCTACAATTCTTAGGGCAAATTCCATTACTTTTAAGCATCCTAATACACAGACACACACACACACACACACACACACACACACACACAAAGGAATGATACCAAGATGGCAGATGGGAACACAACTTGAACAACTACCCATCTACCCATAAGGAAAATGCTCTCACAGGAGTTACAGGAACCCTATATCCCACTATAGCGACATGGCTAGGAGTCACAAGCATATTAAATAAATGGAAAACTGGTTGAATGAAATGATTGTATTATTTTTTTAAATAAGTGAACTAGAGACTGGTTGAACTGACTTTTGAATAACTGACCTAGAGCCCAATCTTGGTTAAGTCTGGTACTTCAGAAAGAATGACAGCCAAAATCTAATCTGAAGCTGGCTAGAGTCATGCTAAATGTACATAAAAAATGGTCCTCCCATCTGGTCCCCATTACACTGTATCTCAAATACCATCCTTATTGGTGTTAAAAAGAGCATCAAAAAACTAACAGGAAATTCCATCTTGACTACCACTACCTGCAATTAAAATTAACTCCTCCTTGATGTATCACTTGAGAGGTAGGTTCATCACTTATGATCTATTTAAGCACTGTATTAGGAAGACAGAAAAGTAAGATACTGTAGAAAGTATAAAGTAAAAAAAAAAAAAGATGAATTAGGTTTTGGGAAAGGTGATCATATGCCTTCTTCTGCTAATTATTTCTGAGTAACAAGAGGGTTATTCATTAAAGCCACTCCTGATTCATAACAAAGCTGCATCATCTATGTTCATCCAATATAAATAATACGCAGCAAGTTTCTTGGAGGGGGCACTTACTTTCCATCTCCTCTCCTAAAATTCTGAGCCTCTTTCTTAACTACTTTAGTAGAAAAAGCACACCAGATGACTGGTAACATGCGGCTCAGCTCCTTTATTTTCCTTTGTTCTGATCTGCCCTTGCAGAAGTCTGCAATAGTACATCACGCTCCTGAACAGGTGAGCAAGATGGCTCTATCAGTATCTCTCAGTCATATTTCTTTCTCCTTGGTTTTTAAAGCATTTCAGATAAGGGATAGCCAACCAATATTATGGTTTGTCTACTCTATCAAAAGTCACATTATCTACTCTATCAGTCATATTTCTTTCTCCTTGGTTTTTAAGTCAAGAAGAAAATGCAGTGTTATTCACTGAATTACTAAAACTATTATCAATTGTGGGTATTTAAAAAAAGTTTCTCAGGAATCCTAACTACTGAGATTTTATGGAAAGACCAGCCTTTTCTCAAATTTGGAAGACTGACTCTTTCTGTTTGAACAGAGGTTTACACGTGTGAAGCTTGTTGTATTTGGCTAGATCAACAAGAGTAGGGTGGAATGAAAGGCAATTTCTGTTAAGTGGCTAAACAAAGTTACTAGAGATGTGGAGAACAATGAAGGGTAATTCTTCCTCTGTATTTTGCTACATAATTTGTAATATCATCATAGCTCAGAGGCTAAACAGAATATGTGAAGCAGATATGAAAATTCAAGTGTTTTCACCTAAGCCAGACATTGAAAAGATCTTCAATGAAACAGTGCCACTCTCCTATTTTTAATTTTTCCCTTAAAGTGTATAATATGCAGTAAGTTTATTTCTGTAGTCCCTTGCTATCTGAGGGAGACTGGCTCCAGAACAGCCGAGCCTACTACAGATACAAAAAGGTGGAGATGCTCACGCCTCTTTTATAAAATGGCTGAATATCTGCATGTAGCCTACACATGTCCTCCAATAAACTTTAAACCATAACTGTATTACCTGTAATACCTAACATGTTGTCTAGGAAAAAAGAAACAAGTTTGTACATGTTGAGAGTAATTTTTTCTCCCAATATTTTCCAGTTGTAGGTGGTTGAAACTACAGATACAGAACCTATAGATATAGACAAACAACTGTTCTCTTAAAATGAATTAAAGTTTTTTTCAGTAAAGAAACAAACCATAATATTGAATATCCCTCATCTGAAAGGCTTCAGACTAAAAGTGTTTCAAACTTCTGAGTTTTTTTTTTTTTTTCTCTCCAGAACTGTGTGCAATTATTTACGTAAGACTTTACTGGCTGAGCATCTTTCATTCAAAAAGCATGCAATCTGAAATGCTCTAATATCCAAACTTTCTAATTATCATGGCATCCCAAATATTTCAGATTTCAAAGCATTCTGGATTTCAGAATTTCAGGTTAGGAACATCTTCCCCATCAGCAAAAGTTGTTTGGAATCCTCAATATTTTTTAAGAATGTTAAGGAATCTTAAAACGCGAAAGTATGAGAAGTACTAATCTAAATCTTTTCTTTAACATTCATCTCCTATAGCTAAACCTAGCCAATCAGAATTAAAGTTTCAGTAGTTCTCCTAAACTTACTATATAAAATTTGAACAAGTTATAACAACATCCAGGTCTTCTATCATTGGTATACACTTTTTTAAGCCTCATTCTCTGTATTCCTTTTGATGTTACATATGCTATGGTCTGGATGTGGTTTGTCCACAAGGATCATGTGTTGGACAAAGTCTTTGGTCCTCAATGTGGTGATGTGAGAGGTGGCAGGACCTCTAGCAGGTGAATCCAGTGGGAGGTAAGTACTTACAGATCACTGGCTGTCCTGATCTCAGAAGGGACTCTAAAGTAATTTTTGTGTCCCAAGTTAGTGCTTTTGAGAGCAACTTCTTATAAAAGCTAGTCTGATCACTGAATCTAGCTTCTGGTCTCAAACTGGTCTCTCATCCCTGCAGCTGTATCATGTGATGTCATCCATCACTACAGCTAAGCTAACACTGGTGCCATGTCATTGAATCTCCAGAACTCTGAGTTTTTTTTGAAACTTATTCAGCCTCAAGTATTGCATTTCAGTAATGAGAAATAGGCTAACACATTTTAATCTATTCAAGAATTTGCCTGCCACCTGGAACACCCCTTCTGTTTCCCTATCCTGTCTTATCTGCATATCTAACTCTATACTACCTTTTACATGGCCACCCTTATTAATGCTCTCTGCATCTTTTTTAGTACACCTTCTAACCTACAATCCAATTTTATTCTCCATTCATTTTTCCAATCTAGTCATGTATGTTCATATACCTCCCTCCACCTTATCTTATTCACTGTTTTACCCTGTAATCCTCTTTTCATGTATGTCCATTCCATTGTACTATTAAGTATCAGCCAAAATAGAATCTTTCTTTCATTCATCAATTAATTTGTTCTTATCAATTTACAGACCAATAGGGTTTACACAAGTCTACCAATTCTAAAAATGATATATTTCACCAAATTACATTTACAGTTCATTCACTTGCTTGTATCTTTATTCTAACAAATGAAAAATACTCAGAAGAGATCTGAAAAGTGACTGAGAGCAACCTGAAAGCATTTAGCAATGTAAATTTCCACTTATTCATAAAGAATTGTAAAGGTCATTTTAGTTAACCTTATGTAAGTTAGCCAAAAGTCACATATACAAAAGGACAAAAGATGATGCTATAAAATGGAAACAAAACAATGCTCAGTATCATTTAACAAATCTTCCATACTTCAGAAAGTCATGAAGTGTCAGTGTTACTGTTATCACCATGAACATCAACTAAAAAGGAACTTAAAATGCCTTCAGGAGTACAAACAATGTCTTGTATAAAGTACCCAGTTGCAATTGGCAGAGACCTTAGTATGTAAGAGCCATGTGAATTACAGATAATTATTTTATATATAACCTGTTCTCAGAACAGAAGAAATCCAAATTCACTTGTTTGAACTTTCCACTGACTTAAATTCTAGGTCAAATGAGACTTACTATGTTTTCTAATGATAAACAATATTCATCTTTTGAGATGAGTGAGCCGACATCTTATATGGCTGACAACAATGCTGCCAAGTTGACTGCCAAGAACTGGAGCATATGCAGAAAAGAACCATCAGTCTTATTCCAGAAATTTTAAGTGGCGTCAAAGCAGCTGGAGTCAAAGCTCATCTGACCAGCCATGAATGTGAGTTGTGATGCTATGTCCTATGTCAGTGGAGACAAGTTTTAGAAATGTAGTGGCAAAGAAACTGAAAATATACAAAAGTATTCAAAAGAAGAATATAAACTAATTGAATCATGCTACTGTATCCCAATTCAATGCTTTAACAATAAAACTCCAAAAAATAAAATTTCAACAGGGAACAGTTTGAAAACAATGCACAGTTTGAAAACAATAGCAAAATAGAAATTCCAGAATCAAAAAGTAAAAGAAGAAAGATTATGAACTCAAGGACTACTTATAAACAGCACACTAACTGAAAACAGAATTTGTAAAGGAGAAACCATCAATAATGAAGCATAAGGAATAAAAAGGAACCAGAATAAAAATATATAAAAAGAAGATAGGCCACATAAATGGAAATTAAGACTTCCTTACGAGGAACTTTAACTAAAATCCCAGAACTGGAGGAGAGAAAGGAAGGGGCAGATGCAATATCTGAAGAGGGAATAAATAAAAACTGGCCAAAATTGAGAAAACATTATTCCACAGATTTGAAAGGCTCAAAGAATTCCTAGAAAATTAAATAAAAAGAAACTCATGTTCATCACAGTGAATGTATAGAAAACCACAAACAGAAAGTTATATAAGCAACTGGAGAAAAAATATGAATTATATTCAAAGAAATAGAGTGAAACTAACTTCTCTATAGCAAGACACTAAAATAAGCATAATTGGTTCAACATTTGAAAATAAATGTATTTCACGACACTAACACAATGATAGAGAAAAAGATACAGGAAAAATCAGCTGATAAAATATAACACAATTTTATAATTCAAAAAAAGTCTTAAAAACCAGAAGACTCGTACATGCCCATAGTCTCAGAATTCTGAAATGCTGAGGCAGAAGAGTTGTAAGTTCAAGCCTACTCCTAGAAATTTTGCAGCTTATCAAGATCCTCCCTAAAAATGAAAAATAAATAAAAGAAGATCTGATGATACAACTCAGTGTGAAGTCCCCTGGTTCAACCCCCGGTACCAAAGTAGGGCCATGGAGCAGACCTCAAAGGAACAGAAGAGCTGATACGGCATACTTCCCCCGACATCTGCAATGATCATATTTAATAATGAAAGCTTTCCCTTTATAATAAGGAATCACACAACAACGCCTGTCATCATTATTTCCACTGCCATAGTAGTACTAGCCAATTCAATAAGGCACAGAAGATATCTAAGGTCTAAGAAATAGAAAAGAAGAAACAAAACCATAATGATCTACATACAATATGATTTTGTACACAAAGTGCAAAGTAAGAAATTTATAGATAAATCCATTCCATCTTCATACACATTTCCTTGTATCAGTCACAACTTTTATAATGGCAATAGCAACAAAAACTGCCATCTTACAAGTCTAACAAAAGATAAACAGGACTTTTATATAAAGATAATTATTGAAAGAAATTAAAACATAAAAAAATGTGTAACTGCCATGCTTATGGATTGGAAGAATCAAACTCATAAAAATGTCAATTCTGCCCCCTTGAAATAGCAATTCCAACCAATATTCAAACTGCTTTGTGTATGTGGAGGGAGGTACTGGGTACAATTGAGGTTATTCTAAAATTTATATTGAAGTATCAGGAGCTAGGAATTACTAAACAGAATGGTATTAAAGTGAGGATAAATACAAAAATAAAATAACAGGCTGAGAAACGGACCCACACATTATGACAAGGGAGCACAGTAAAAAGGTGGAGAAAATCTTTTCAATAAATAATGTTACAAGGCCGTGTGTGGTGGCACACTCCAGTAATCCCAGCACTCAGGAGGCTGAGGCAGAAGGATCAGCACAAGTTTGAGATGAGCCTAGGCTACAAGTGAGTTCAAGGCCAGCCTAAATTGCATAGAGACCCGTCTCGGGGGAAAAAAAAAAAAAAAAAAAAAAATGAAGTGTTACAAATGAAACTGGACTCCTATTGCACCTCATACCCATAAATCAAATTTGTGAAAAGTAAAACAGGTTTAGAACATACAAGAAGGTAATGATGACCTTAGAATATAATGAAAATGAATTAAGATTATGAACTTTAACATGGCAAATCTAGAGAGTGGAAAAGGTATTTGCAATACATATACCAACAAATGATTCATATGTCAAAACACACATATTGTACACACATGTAACAACAAATAAGAAAAAAGATAACCTAGAAGAAAAAGAGGCAAAAAGACATGGACAAGCACTTTATAAAAAAGGAAACATACATATTCTATAAACTTAAGAAAGTTCCAACCTTATTATTTTGAGGAAATATAAATGAAATTCAAGGAAAGGTAACACTGTATACTCACTGGAATGGCTAAAATTCAAAAGACCCACAATACTGAGTCGAGGTTAGAATATAAAACAACATGGTTATAGTAGTACCTATTATTCAACCACACTTGGAAGCAGTTTCATGTTATCTGCTAAAGTTAAAAATGCAATCTACCATCCAGCAATTCCATTCCTGTGTTTCTTGGAGATGTAATGTATTTATATAACAATTATTATAATGCTTCTAAACTGGAAATCCATATAACCATTTATTAATGTGACTATTATGGTATACATACTGCAATGGAATATTATACAGTAATAAAAGTCAGTGAACCACAGTTAAATGTAGTAATATGTCATAACCATAATGTTAACTAATGGAGGATAGACACACAATAATTAACATCATATGATTTGGTTTAAATTAATTTAAAAGAAAATGCAGTACGTACATGCCCTGGGGAGTGACACCAGAAAGGGACATAAGAAGGAGGGCTTCTGGGGCAAAACCAGCAATGTTCTACTTTTTGACCTAAGGTTATAAAGTTTGCATTACAGTAATTCATCAAGCTGTTCTTCAGGTTTTATATACTTTTCTGTTTGTATGTTGTATTTCATATCAAAATGGCTTAAGAAAATTAAACTCAATAGCTTACCCTGAGACTAGCATCTGCCCATCATGAGAAAAAGCACAAGTAAGAACAGGTGCACAGTGCCCACTCAAAGTACTTTTACATTTTAATTCAATACCTGTAATCAAGGTGAAAAAAATTAGCAAGTGACCATGCTTGAAATTCATTTCTAACTCCACACTATTTCACTTATTTATTAAATAATCTTTGGGTTGCCTAAGGGACATAAAATTTTAAATCCTCATGTAACTCAAGTATTTGTACATACGGCAAACAATTCCAATGCAGTGTGGATAAATGGTTTGAAAGCTCAATAATGGACTAAAACATGATGTGTTCAGTAAAGGCTAGAGGGGATAATTTTATAGCTACCAAATAATTTAAACTATATACAAACATTTCGGTGTCTGTTAAAGAAAATATGTTAATTACCCAACAGACTAAAAAACAAAATGCTTACACTTTGTAAAATCTGGTATTAGCAAAACATGTTCTCACTCTGTAAATTAAATCAATGACAATTTACACATTGTGTAATTCCAGTATATAACACTCCTACCTACAAAGTATGGTAACGCTAAAATGTTTTTATGCTTTCTACAATTGCTGAAAATAAACACAAGTCTTTTAAAGGTAAACTACAGAAATTTAGTATTTTGGTGACAACCTATAAAAACAATTGAGACATTAGCCTAGGAGAGATAACAAAATCAGTGAAGTCTACCAGGCAAAAAACCTTTTTTGAAGTAATGAAAGTCTTCTAAAGAAGACAGCAACTATTTAAGCAAAAAGAAAGTTATGACAGCAAGTAAAAACTTTAAACTCAAAAAAGAGAAAAAATATTACTACTACCTGGAAGTGCAGATATGGACATTAAAGACATAACACTAAATGCCAGAAGTACAATGGTGAATTTCAAAGGGCTTTCATTATAACAATCAAAGCAAAAATATTAAAACTGTAAAATGAAGACCAGAGAACTTGTAATATGACCACATGAACAGTTTGTATTGTCAAGTATATGACCCCTATTATCTACTGCATACAAGTAATTAATTAAAATAAGGTACTAACAAAGACAAATGCTTCACATAAAAAGCTTTAACTGCACATTTATATACTATTTTGTTTTTAAAAAGTGTAAAAATATTTTATAAAAAAATGTATGAAAGGCTTCAAACAATTATTGATAATTATATTTAGAAGATACATATATATGATTATACTTATCATTTTTCACCAAAATTTTACTTGTGGTAAAGAAAGACAAATGGAAAACCATTTGGATAAACCAGAGAAGTAAAGGAATTCTCATCCTCACCAGCATGACATACACTAAAATGATTACTACAAGGAAACTAACAGGCAGTAAATGAGTAAATTTCCACCACAAAAGGATTATTTCTTTCTGGGTATTGGGCTTTTCTCTATGTACTATTATAACTATGAACACCAGAAATACAGTTTGTGATGTAAATAAATCCTGTTGGGTAAACAAATAACTGTTTTGAAGCATCTGAATCAAGATGCTCCCTTAACCACACTGTTTCAAAGTCTCCCTTAAAATGATAATGAATGAATGAATAAATATATAAATTACGTGAATGAAGAGAATGGGAAGGTAGGAAACAGATTAACTGATGAGACCATATAGAGCAATGCCAGCCTAGCATACAAAGGAAGGGAAATAGGGACAAGAGAGTTATTCTGGCCTAGAGAACCCAAGATACAGAGCTATCAACAGCCAAGAAAAACAAAAGTCAGAATGAAAGACAAGACTTGGAATTAGAAACATTAACTACAGCTCTGTATGTAGAATGAACATTCAGTGTCTACTTTAAACCCCTTCCTGGTTCCAACCCATGGTATGTCACATAAAATTCAGGTGCTTATCTCCAGACAAGCTTCCTAAAAGTAAAGTAATGACAACATAAAGAGCTTCAGGGCCACAAAGACCTTCATCCCCTTTGTCCCCAACCCTTCTCTCAGAAGAACCCATCCTAAGGTTAAGCTACCAACAATGGAACATCCATAGGTACAGAATTCCTGAATATCTTATTATCTAATTATTAAATGTAAATAAAATACTAAGGGCCTTGAGATACTTAAGAAGGTAACTATATGAACGAGAACAATCACAGTAAGGAAAACAAAGCCCCCAGGAAGAAACAAAGATGACCAGGAAAGAAAAAGAACTTAAAACGTAGCAAGCTGCCAGGAATATAGCTCAAGGCACAGCATCTGCCTGACAAGCATGAGGTTGTGAATGCAATTCCTGGTATAAAAAAAAAGGTAAGATTAAACATTTTTTTAAAAAGTAAAAAACAGGAATTTTTAAAAATAGACTGAAATGCTGGAGGAGGAGACAGAGGATCAATTCAGGAGATTCAACTAACAGAAGTTATAAAACAAAGGACAGCAGAAAAGGAATCATTAAAGAAACATAAAGGAATGCCACAATCCAAAACCAAACAATACAGATTTGTTTCACTGCTGTTCTTCCTTGTGGTACTGTGAAGTGAACCCAGGCCATTACATAAAACAGGCCTTCTACTACTGAGTTAGAACCACAACCATAACAAACTTCTTGACTCAAAGTCAAAACAGAACAATGGATGAGGAAAAGACTCAAAGTATATAAAACAGTTACTGTCCTGAGTAAGTTAAAAGCCGTGGTGAAATCGCATTTCTAGAAACTCTGAAAGCCACCAAAGAAATTGAAAACCAGTGCAAAATGGTTACTTTTGGTGAGTAGGAATGTGTGTAATACACAGGTAAGGGTAAGTTCAGAGTCACAAAGTTTCTTAAACATTTTATAATCACTCTCATATATCAGATATCTTAAAAATATCAAACAAATTTTATTTAGATCACAAATAATTTCAAAGATGTACTGAGCAAAAACATACCTAAGACATGGGTAAAAGAAACCACCCAAATTTTGACTTGGCAATCCTGACCACACGATGCCAATCGAAAAAACTGAGGACCTTGTTCTCCATCTAAAACAGTAAATTTTTAAAAATAAATACAAAGAATTAATAAAACATTTAAACTAAAAAAATCAATTTCTTATACTGGAATCAGTTAATGCTACTTATTTAAATCATAGTACTAATATTAATTTACAGCATCTAATGAATTTAAAAGAATTTCTTTTAAACAAGATACTGTACAGAATACAACTTTAGACCTGAATTTTTAATAAAATGCTTAAAAGGCAATAACTCTAGGTTGAAATGGTCAATACTAAAGTAGAGCATCTTGCAACTTAATTTTACAGGCTATCATTATTGGGTAAAACTGGGAAAAAGAGTGTTAGTTATGATAAGAACGTTAAATGTTTAATCACTCAAAACTTAAGTATTTTCTATACATCAGTTTCTTAAAAGGCTGTTTTATAATTCACATGTAACAATGGAAATTTTCTTCCACTTCATTTAATAAATAGAAAGACTGAAACTGTATAAATCCAAAGAAACATCAATTAAGCTCATTGATGAAAAATATTACATGACTTAGGGAAAGTAATAAATCATTTCAAAAAATCACTAAAGTTTCTTACAGAATTTCAGTATATTTTTATACAGCTACTAGATTATATTCCTAAATACTTGTGGGTAATATGAATATTGAAATCATCAACTCAATGTTACACAAGTTCTACTTCATATTACAGATGCAGTTTCACCAGAGATGGTTTTAACATTCATATGAAGTAAAGCAAAATTAAGAAACCTAACATCTATCTTAAGATTCTATCCTGGAATTTACAAATATTCAATATATGGAGTTTGATTTATATGCTGTGTATATAAGTTTTTATCTACATTTGCTCTAAAATACATGTTTTACTAACACCCAACAAATTTACTTTCATTTCTTTAAAAGTTTTGCAAACTCCATTGAGACTTTCACATTTCAACAGCATTTTGATTTGGTTTGGCTTTGTTTTACAATGCTGAAATTGAATCCAGACTTTCACACATGGTAAGCAAGCACTCTATCACAGAGTTACATCCCTACTCCTTTATTTTTCAGACAGGGTCACTTTAAGTTGTCCATTCTGTCCTTGGACTTGTGATCCTCCTGCTTTAGCTCCCTCTCCCCATCAGCAGCTGGGATTATCCGTGTGTATTACTTTTCCTGGGCATTGTTCTGATTTGTGCAGTACAGGTTCAGACAAAGTACAACCTTTCTCAGAGAGATCTTAATGAATGTAAGCAATTTCTGATAACATTTGACTTTAAAGTAAAACATTTTTACTTAGTAAATGACAGTAAGATATTTAAGTATGGGACCTGGTTGGAAAAGCTGTTCATTGTTTTTTGGCTAACTAGGTCCCTATGGTTAATTCTAAAGTTGCTTTAGGTAGTGAGAATTCAGTTACAGTAATGAAAAATTATGAAGCTTAAAGTGTGCCTACCCTCAATATTTAATCACTTAGAGATATACTTTTCCTTAGAAAAATATTTAAATTGTGATAATAACCTAAACCATGCTATGTTTTCTTTACTATTTAAATACTAGCATGACCATTTATCTTCAGGATAGCATTATTTTTCGTTACACATAAAATATTTCAAGCCTAAGGAATTAATGTCATAAGTATTTACAGATATTAACAAATACCAAATTAAATAACTATTTAAAATTATTCACTTTATCTAAATTAAGTATAGCAATTCCCACAAATTTTACACATAAAAGTTACTATTTATTTCAACGGAACTAAAGAAAATACAAGGACTAAAATAATACTGAGAAAAAGACATACTATGAAATCTCTTCAAGGCAGAGTAAGGATGTGTGTATTATTTCAGAATTTCTTCCTAGTTTAGTGAAACTTTTCCAACTCCATAAGCTACCCATAGTTTTATTCTAATATTAAATAATATAATAATATTTCCTTGGATTTTTTTTTTAACTGAAAATCTGTTTCTAGGTCTTATAAAATAAAAAAGAAACCTGAATCTTCCCATGTCTTTATAATTCATTACAGATTCATTGAGCACCTATAAAATGTATAGAAAATACTACAGCAATGGAAGAAAGAGTTCTTGTCTGTTATAACCTATGCTTTGTGGACTTAAAAAAAGCACAATATGTTAAAAAATCAATTGCTTAATTAAATTAGGTAGGAATTTAAGAATCAGCTCATGAAAACTCATTAGTCTCCTACATGACGCTAAAAGGTTAAAAAAATCTAAAAATTTTTTAAAAATTAAAAAATTAAAGATTAAAATTAAAATTAAAAAATTAAAGATTAAAAAATAAAATATTAGCCAGGGACACACTCATAATCCCAGCTAGTCAGGAATAATGCAAACTCATGGCCAGCCTTCGTAACTTAGATCTTGTCTCAAGTGAAAAATAAAAAGCTGGGGCTGTACATCAGTGGTAGAAAGGCCTCTGGACTCAATTCCCAGTTGTACAAAAAATAAAAATAAATTAAAAATTTCAGCAAATCACTAAAAGGAATCTTGCTTACCAATTTTCATTCAATATATGGTATTTCATCTATACATTGGGTATATGAATTTTTATCTACATATGAGGCATACTGTCTGTTCTGGGCACTATGATGAAAACAGACCCAGGTCCTGTCTGCATGGGGCTTACAAGCTAATAGAAAAAAACACCATGAAATATTACCCATAGAAAAGCTGGGCATGACAGTTTAGACCCTTAAATCCAGGCAGCTGAGGCCAGAGAACTGCCTGAATGTAGAAATTCAAGGCCAGCTTAGACAATATAGCAAGACCCCATTTCAAAAAAAAAAAAAAAAAAAAAAAAAAAAATCCACGTAATTGCATATAAAAATCTTGATACTTTTGCAAAATCTATCAAAGAGTACAAACAAAAGATATTAAAATGATACATGTGAGGCAGAAGAATAGAGAAGCCTCATCAACAGTAATTTTTTAACCAAAATCTAAAGGATGACTAAAGAAAGAACCAGGCAAGAGTTCACATGTAAAATCTTTTAAAATCTTAGGAACACTGAAGAATGAAAGGTAACTGTGGCTAAAAAGAATGCAGGAAGTCAAAAATGATCTGAAATTAGGGTGAAATGGAATATGCAAGGTACTTATAAGTTTGGCCTTTGGATGTAGGATTTTATCTTATGTTAACTGTATCTTCAGTTGTTAATGTTCTTGAAACCGGGGAAGACCAAAACCATCCTGTTGACCATGTTGTCTGATAAAGTTACCACCACCCCTAAGTGGGCACTTGAACACTTGAAATGTAGTTATTCCAAATTGAAATATGCTGTAAAATACACACTAGATTTTGAAGACTCAGTACAAAATAAAAGGAAAAATAGTAATTGACATGGTGGCACATATCTATAACCCCAGCATTCAGGTAGCCATGGCAGAAAGATCATGAATCCAAGATTGGCCTGGACTACACAACAAGACCCTTCCTCAAAAATTTACCAAAAAAGGAAAAATAGTTTAATAATTTCTATTCATGATCAATTATCCAAATAACACTAGAGATGTTGGGTATTATAAATGTGCATTGTTAAAGTTAATTTCATCTACTAAATGTTTTAAATGTACCTATATGTTTCTATGTTGATCTAGTGGTAAGCCTGAAAGGGTAAAAGGCAAAATTAGCATTCTAACACAGAAAAGGAAAATTCCCTTTTTAAGCTATGTAGCCAAACACATAACTTTATAAAGTTAGCAAATTTACAAAGAAATGTGACTTCTCTTTTCAACTTTTTAGCTTAACATTTCTATTTGAATACTGGTACATTTAAAAATCACAGAAAAACTAATAGTCGTCTAAATTTCCATATTCAAGCAATCAATCTATTGGACCAAGTTGAATCACCCTTATATATATGAAAAATAATTTTCTCTTATAATATTTTTCATGCTTTCATTTTGATCTAAGAAAAAAACGATTCTGTAAAAAAGCAATTAAGAGAGCCTTCCACTGTATTAATAAAATTGAAATGAATACAAGGACAAAAAGTTACACACAAATTACAAATGTGAATTTCTAGTACTTAAAAAACTAAAATAACTTACCAGAAACTGGCTGTGAAGAAAAATCACAGCAAGTAATCCCAAGATCATGCGCTTTTTCACTATGCAGACATCTCATTTTATCGTCCCAGAGTGTTAAATCTCCACATGAAGAGCCAGTGACAAAGAGGTTTCCATTAGGAGAAAATGCACAGGCCACCAAGGAGCCATCCTTAACACTACCACATCTGAAACAAAAGCAAAAAAGGGAGTTATTTCACAGCATCTTTTATATTACAATCTGTAACAGCAGTTTAAGATAGTAAAAAGAGTAAATGGCTCTTTTTACTACAAGAACCACAAAGAAAAGGCATATACCACCTACAAAGTAAGATATTTATATGTTCTAAATGGAGATATGCTTCCTACAATCAAGAGAGGATTTAAACATTTTAACTAATATGTTTTTGCCTAAACTAGAGATTTGAACCAAAGTTTATGTACTTTTACATTTTTCCATATGGCAAGTCAGCTCGAATGCATTAAAAAAACATGGCAATAAGCAACAAAAGCTACAGCCATACATTAAAAAAAAAAAAACCCATAAAATTATTTTCTTGAAAAATGTATTATATTGAGGTTAAAAGCATTTTGAACTTCTGTATCAAAATCTCCTAAAAAACAGTAGGGTCCCTCATCTCATCTTCCAATGTAAATTCTTTGTGAAAAGAAAATGGAATGAAAAATTTACAAATTATCATGGGGAGGAAAAGAAGCACTGTGTTGACAACAGTATTTTCTCTACTAGGAAAAATAAACTGTTAAGAACCCAATAATTAGAATATATTAATTATATAAATTATAAAGTTAGATTATAAAGGCAGAAACCATCACCTGGTAAGTGAGAAAAAAAGGTTCCTTAGCTCACAGCTGGATTTCATTCACATAAAGACATTTTATTCTCTCTGCTTTCCTGTTAAACTAAGTATTTACTGATACCACTTAAAACATACCCCCTCTTCAACCTTAACTTAAATGAGCAACTGGCTAGCATTTGTGCTCTGAGCGATGATTGGAGGCATAGGGGGAGGAACATTAAACCATTTTTTGTTTATTTTTTTGAGACAGAGTCTCACTATGTAGTTTAGGTTGGCCTCAAAATCACGGTGATCCTCCTATTTTAGCCTTCTAAGTGCTGGGATTTACAGGCCCCAGCCACCACACCTGGCTATTTTAACTGGTAACATTTAAAGTGTATTTTAAATCATTAAAACAGTAAATTTTATGTGTAGTTTACCATAATAAACAGAAATAAGACTATGGTTTTAATTTGGTAAGCTACAAAAAATTACCAATGTAAAATAATTGGTGTATGTTTTTTCTGAAACACTTTTACAGGTAAATTTTTTCAGATATAAATGTCAAACATTACTACACCTGCAAAGATGTTCCTCCTCCTGTGCTGCTTGTCCACACAACAAGAATCCCAGTCAGGAAAAAAGCTGCGTCTCTTCAGTGGGGCTTAACCTTCCATGATGCCATTTCTGAGAACACCTGAGCCATGAGCGACAAAAATAAGCCTAAAATATCTGAATCTTATTAAAAAACTGCTTGCCCTGTTTGCCTAATTCTAGTCCATAAAAAACTAACAAAGATTAAAAAAAGACTTAAAATTCAAAATTCTCTCAAAGCCAAGCAAATGTACAATAGGCATCATATTAAAAATCTACTCTTCTGACTTTCAGAAGTCAATTCAAAATATTTTTCCTTATTCTATCTAAAATCTACCTGCTTCCTAAGATTACCAAAATATTCTGCTTTCTGCTTTTTATTTGGAACAACTTGTTAACAGGATAAGATACAGAAAGATTTTAAACATTCATACCTGTATAATTTGTGTGATTGTGTGTTCCACAAAACAACAGTTCCATCAGCTCCCCCTGATGCTAAGCAGGAGGAGTCTGGGGAAAACCGGCAAACCCTCACAGGGCTACCCCCAGGCTGTTCCATCACTGCCAAGGTCTGTCCACTGTGAGCACTCCACAGGACAGTGGTGCCATCTGTTGAACATGATGCCAAAATATGTCCTGAAGGAGAAAAACAGCAGCAATGGACAGCATAGGTGTGGAACTTCAGTGGAGAGTGTGGCAGTTCAGCGAAGTTACTTAGGGAGTACAGACGAATTGTTTTGTCCAAGGAACAAGTAGCCAACAGTGAAGAAGAGAAGGCACAGCAGTTGACATCATCACTATGATCAGCTAAGGTGTGAATTAATTTCACCATGATCTTTATTCGAAGTAAAAAGGCCTGCAAGTTTTAAAGTGGGAGAAGTGATGTCATTTTAGGAAATCAGATAAATACAACTAGAACTCATGTTGAGCCATGATCAATTTAAGATTTTGCTCAAAGAAAGCTCTACATTAATATTTTTAAAGGATAAAAGACTTATTACCTGGGATAAGGATAATGTGGAGACATAAATCACAAGATTCTTTCTGAAAGTTAGAGACATCATATTATAGTGATATGCATGCCCCCATTTATAGCCACACAACTCACAACATGTAAATCCTGGAAAGCAGCTATAGGACTAGCAATTGATAAGGGAATAAAGAAAATGTGGTATATATGTACACTGGAGTATTCTCGGCCACCAAAGATACATTTGAGTCATCTGTAGGAAAATAGGTGCACCTTGAGACTGTTTAATGCTAAATGAAATCACTTAATCATTTAATACTAAATAAAATCTGACAAAGAATTAACTATCCTGTGTTTTCTTTGTAATATAAGGAACTCAAGTAAAAACAATCTAATGACAAAATAAAAAGTACAGGATAACAGGTAGGTAAATCTTCTGGAGATGGGAAGGGATTTAGAGATGAATGAAGAGGGGAGTAGGAAGTAAAACAATTAAGGTACAGTCTGTACATGGATCAACTTCCCAAGATGAATGTATCCTTATGTATAGCACGTATGTACTAATAAGAAATATATTTACAAGACTGTAACATCTCATGATGCTCATGGCCATCACTGCCATCCAATAAAGTTCCGCACTCCTGACAAAGAACCTCGACAGATAACTTCAATCTGATTTAATGTTGAACTTTCAGAACCTCTATTATTTACTTCACCTTTGAAGTCTTTCCCATAAATAATTCTCAAAGGGCCTCATGTCAGAGCCACCATTCTGAACTCAGAAAGATTTTTCACAGCCAGTTACTGTGACATATGCCTGTAATTTCACCACTCTAGGAGGCTGATTTCCAACATTGCAAAAAACAAAACAACAACAAAACAGATTATTTTAACGTAAGGTTTCAGCTGTTCCCTCTGGAGCCAAGGCTATTTCCTCCGCCTCCAAGACTCAAGTATAGGAAGACACAGAGGAACTAGGAACAGTAGTTCAAACATGGATCAAAGCAGAGAAGGAAGTACAAAAAATACTAACTGTCCGTGTGAAAACGGACACACTTACAAAGAATTTCTCACCGATAGAAAAGAGAATGAGAGAAACCAGTGGAAAGAATAACATGCTGGAGATTCAACTGGAAAAGATTACCTTTTTATTAAAAGTAATGCAATCAAAGGAAGTCTCAATTTTAAAAAGGTGAAAATGTACAACTAAAATATGCTGATAAAGGAAAAGCTAAAATTTCATGAACAAGAATATAAGAATAATATTGTCAAACATACATGAAATTAAAATCGAGAAATGATAGAAATAAGCAGATATTATCAAGATATGCAGAAAAAGTTGAATTAAGTGAAAAGCACAAAGATCTAGAAAAAAGAAAAGAAAATGGAAATTTCAGAGTTAAATGCATAGTAACTTGAAAAAAGGAAAAGCAAAATGAAATAAACTACAAGTAGAGTTTAATGCCAAACTAGTAAGACTTCAGACTAAATTGAAACATATTCTGAGTCTTCTATTTTCCCACAAAGTATCTACAGAAGAAAGCTTCAAGAACTTCAGGAAGGGGGAAAAAAAAAAGAAACTGCAACTGTTCATAATGTCATTCACTATTTGGAGCAATGCCTTTCACCTAAGACTCACACCTTAGGTGTAGATGATTTTGAGTATACTAGTAAATTCATTAACTGTAACTCTTTAAGAGCAACTGAAAAATTCAACATAAAACTAAAAAAAGTTTTAAACATTTTTATACTACACTAAAAAAAGCTTTAAACATTTTTATTGAGTTTATTTAGACAAATCCATACATAGGCCAATCATGTACTGTATTCTTGCTTAATGGTATTATTCATGAAGGAGTTCAAGTTTATAGGGTTTAGTTTACCTATTAAACCATCATTGACTATGGAAATACTCTCTAAGCAGTCTAAAGATAGGCATGCATTTCTTTCTCCTTATAGCCATTCAAAATTCAGAAGTATGATATAATAAAAAAGTAAGATACAAAGACTATTCGGATATAAATCAAGGTATGAGTCAGGCATAGGAATATTAAAAGACAAAGTCAAGCTTTTAAAAATATTCTTTTGTTCAACAGAATTCACTTCTTTTTCTAATGGTTTAATCAGTTTAAAATATAAAACTAAAAAGACAAATATAACATGATTTTGAGATTAGTAGAAAAAAATGGAACACGTTTTTGTTGTTCTTCCTCCATTCTAAGTTACTATGTATCCAACAGAATTCCCGTCACAGTTTACTTTCTGTTCTCATCAATGCAAACAGAATGCTGTAAAAAGAACCAGATAGGCATTAACCAAAAGGTGCAATTACTTTTTAGTTGCTCCATAATAAAAATGGTTTGTGTCAAAAATTGTATGACATAAAATTTAGAACCCAACTGAGTAGATTTCTCCATGTTTGCACAATCCAATTCCTACCATAATTTACTAATTAGGTAATTTATAGATTTTTTGGAAATAAAAAGAGAACTGTAGGATTTGCTCATTAAAGAACAAAGTCTCCCTGGAAACTTATGTGGATGGGCTGAAAACAATCTTGTCGTCGCTTGCTTGCTTCCCTGTGATAGAATGATAGGAAAGATTTACGATGACTAGCCAATTCTAAGTCAAGGACACCAACCAGGCTGCACTCAAAAACAAATGCACAAATTTCAAAGAAAACCCAAACTCCTCCCCGTGGTTCACCAAAACCTGTGACGATCCGGCTGTTGTCTATTTCTCAGACCTCAACCCTTTCTTTCTCTTCTTTCCAGCCTCTTAGGCAAACTCATTCTGGTCTTTCAACCTCACAAAGCAGCAGAAAACACCTTTCTCTCTGATTGTGGGATCCTATTTCTCATTCAGATCTTTCCATGTCCCTCCTCAGAGAAAGGCTTACTCTAAGGACGCTACCCTCTAGACTAGAACATTATTCTGTTTCAACCCTCAATGTAGCAATTACCAGCCTTATCAGGTATTTATTGAATTATGTGTCTCCCCTTATTAGAATATAAATTCCAAAGGAGTAGGTACTTTATCCATCTTACTTTTGTATCTATAACATGTCAGATATCTAATGTGCTCACACAAATTTTAATACTTTTAACATTATATCTGAAATGAGATGATTAGAATATAGCTACAAAACTTTTCTAGAACTGGCAGTTTTTAAAACATGATGTAGAGTGAGACAGTAATCGGCCCTAAAGATAAAGGCATAACATTGACTTGTACGATTTATAATCTCTTTTATGGGAGTCTCTACCAAAAAAAAAAAAAAAAAAAAAAAAAAAAAAGGGCAAGCTTTTCCTCTATTTTAATCGCTAAAGCAAAGCTTTCACTCACCCACCTGCAGCCTTAAAAAACAAGCACTTGGGGTTGGGGATTTAGCTCAGCGGCGTGAGTTCGATCCCTCGTACCGATTAAAATAAAAAAGACGGGGAAAAAAAAAAAAAACAAGCACTGGAAAAATCTGGTAGGTCATGGCCTTTTGTTGCCCTGAAAACAATCTAGATGAGGTGATGTTCTCTGAAGAACTCCCCAAAGACAACTGCGCAAGCGCACACAAACGTTCCCAAACTCGGGACTCCCAGACCCGCCGCACTCCGCCCTAGACCCGCTGGAGGCCGCGCCGTCGCTACCGCGGGTGCGGTACAGCCGAGCGGGTGCGGGAGGGCGCTCGCCTGCCCACTCTACCCGCAGGGGGCGGCCACTCCCCGCCTCAGCTGACTCGCCCGCGCCGAAGCCCAGGCATACGGAGTCGGGTGACCAGTGTGTACACACGCATCCTCAGCTAGTGCAAAGCTAGCCCAGAAGCGCCGAGCACCCCCTACCTAAAGCCGCGACTTTCTTCCGTCGCGGGGAAGGACCCGCAATTTGCAGAGTCCGAGAGCCCGCGGGCCTCCGCGCTGAGTCCCCGCGGGAGGGCGCCTCGCACCGCGCCAGGCAGGGACGTCCACCCCCGCCTTCTCCGTCACCGTCCGCGTCCCGCCGGGTTCCCGGACACCGAGGGTCCTGACGCAACGAGCGAGGAGGCTGCGCAGGCCTGCCGTCGGGCGAAGGTTGGGGCCGGCACCACCGAAATCACCGGAAAGCTCACCTGAGGAGCCAGGACGGGCCGCGCGGGTCACGCAGAGGCGCGGGCTGTTGCCTGGAGAACCCCACCCGGCAACAGGCCCCGCCCCCTCGGGGGCCGCCTCGCCTCGGCGCTGGCGCAGGCGCGGCCCCGGGCCCCGCCCCCTCCGCCAGCGCGCGGCTGCTGGTCGGGGTGAGAGTTGAGGTGGGGCTTTCAGTTTCAGTGTGTTGTGTTTGTTGGGGTTGTTGGGAAAGTTGAAGTTGCAAGATCTAGTGAACATCTGAAATATTTTTATAAAAGGAGGAGGGGCATTGCAGTAACACATGTCCCATCTTAAAATTGGCAAACCTCTTCTCTTTGACATGCTGTAGTTCAGTCAGCGAAGTCTCGCTTCTCCTGAGAGGTACCTTTGTTATTGTCATCCCTGGTGGCCCACGATGACCGGTGTCCTCTACATCGCCCCAGGGCTGAGGTCTCCCAGAACTCTCTTTCAAGGCCAGCCTGGGTACGCCGGGGCCCTCTTTCTGCGGGCCCCCACCCACACCCCAGAGGACGCTTTTAGGTCTCCTGAACCGGTTGCGTTTTTTCAGCCGTCCAGGATTTGAGTGGCTCGCGAATAGACTGCTGCGTCCAGGTGTGACGACTACCGGATTCCCTGCTGATAAAAATTACCTAGAAAAAAGTTTCTCGGCGTGTTAGCACTTGTTAACTAAATGCATGACTACATTCGTATGAAAATCAAAGATACTGCTAGCTTTTATTTTTAATCCATGCGATTTTACTATTCTCTTTATTGAGGAACATTAAAAATACATCATCCCTGGGAAACCAAAATCATATATTTGAAGAGTAACAACATAAAAATGCTCACAGTTAAAGATGAAATTGAAATCGTGGGAAATAATTTGCCATGAAAATATAAGGGGAAAGATGATATCAAAATCGACAATTTTCTTGAAGTTCTTATGAGACTGCATAATTAAGATTTTGAATGCCTAATTACACTCTAAAATGTTGCCAAAAAATATTTCTCAAAAATTGTATAAATAATAGTTTGCTGGAAAAGTAAATAGCTAATAATCACATCAAATAACAGTTCCTTTTTCTTACATGCTTGAAAATTTCAATAATTGAACAGAAAGTCTTGCATATTGCCTTTTAAAACTTGCATCCTATTTTCCATGCCTAAAATTTCTTCATTAGCTTTATTATTTTTTCAGCCTAATGATCCACATGGAAACATACCACAGTTAACATTTTCCCCTTTGCTTGTTGGTGATTTTGCTGTGTTTCCTCTATATAAATAATGTTAAACACCTTTGTACATAAATCTTTACCTGCATTTTTATTTTACAAAATTATTTTTACAATGTATTTGTTATACGTAATAATTATATTCATCTTGACTTATCCACTTTTATGATTCTGTACTTATAGTCAAATGGAAATAGATTTACTAGGCATAAAGGTGTAAAGATTATTAATAAGTACAATACTTACTACGAATGTGTTGGCTTTTCCAGGAGTGGTTATATGTTTACACCCTCAGCAATATTGTATGTGGTAGTGCCTGTCTCTTTACATTCTTGCTAGACTTGAGTAATAGTTTATCATCTTCACTAACTTGGCGAGCAAAACTGGTTATAGTACTCTTTAAATAAAACATATAAAAGGAACCCCAGACTACACAGGCCACTACATGAGCACAGTGACTTCAAGGACAATATTAGTCAGCTCTGTTTGTCCTGAAGAGGTCTTGCTACAGCTGTTGTCTAGTCTACATATTTGCAATTTAGGAAATGTTCTGAAATATCTTTCTGATAAGAGATAGGAACAGTTTATAAAGATAAATTTATAAGAATTTATAAAGATATTTGATTACATGAATTATGACATAGAGACTTTGAAAATATTTGGACCTTTGATTTGAAATAATAAGATTTGGGTTTTTAATTCATTCCTCAATTCAATTGTGTAGTTATTTCCTGGTAAAATTCAATCTAGTTCTACTTCTTGTTTGTTTGTTTGTTTTTTGTCTTTTTCATTTTTATTGGTACTGGGGATCGAACTCACGACCGCCTGCTTGCAAGGCAGGTGCTTATGCTGCTGAGCTAAATCCCCAGCCCTAGTTCTACTTCTTGTAATATTACTTAAATAATACAGAAATTTTAAATGATACATCTTAAGAAAAACTAACTTTTCTATTAAGTAGTGAGCAACACATGCTTTCAAAATTATTGCAATGGGAACAGAATATGTGTGAGATAATTAGTGAGCCACTGATTGAAGTGTGTGGTCCAGAATAAACAAGAGCTCAGAGAAAAGAGTGAAATGATAGGAGGAAGGAAAATTGGCAAACTTCTTGTATAAACTTGAAGTTTGACCAGCTAAGGTACAAGCTTAAGAAATACTAGTTTTACAATAAATAATCAGAGATGCATTAAGGTTGTTGTGTTCAACAGGCAAACCTGACATCAGTTTTCAGAACAATTAAGCAGAATATATTTGAAGACATAAAAACTTCCTTGAGATGTCTTGTGACAACATATCAAGCTTGACATATAAAATGTGCATTTGTTTCCATGTATAGTATAATTTTTAACAGTTTTAAAAATGTATTTGAGAATTATGAAAGATTTTTCATATCTGATGCACACTCTCCACAGCTTGTATTATCCACAGCTGCATCCTCAGGGGAGAATTTTGGGAATTTGGAAGCAGCAACACTTGTCTTGGAGCATGCTTTCTTATCTGCTGCACATGGACTGTTCCTTCCTTTGCCATTAAGTTGACTTTAGACCTTCTACCCAGCTGTCTTTGCATTAGCCCATCCATGTAATCCTGTTGTGCCAGTAAAACAGCGAAAGTTATCGCAGTTCTTTAGAAAGAATTGGAGTTCCAATCAGAAAAAAATAAAACTGTCAAACAGAAAACAGAGGATCAGAATGAGGTGGTATATATTGGACAAACTAAGAACTGCTTGTTGGTGGAAGCATACATGTGGCTAGAAGTAAGAAAACCAGAAAACGATATAATAAAATGTATGCTCTTTGGTATTTGGTACATTATAGAGAAATTATACTGTTCCAACCATGGCTTTTGGATCCTGAATAGTATAAGAAATATTTTTTCTTGTTTATGAAATTTAAAATTTCAACATCCCATACCTTAATTTTTTTCTTTGGTTTCTTCTTCTGTCTTATTTTCCTAAATTCTGTATTTTCATATATCTGTTAGTGTTTTTGAAGAGAATTCAAGATGTTAAAAGGCATATTTTGGGGGAAAAGTACCTTTTGTTCCAGATTTATAACTTTATAACAAACAAGAAAATATTACAGGTATATCCAAATCACATTCATTTAATAATAGTTTGACTTGCAGAATTAATAAATCATATTCCCAGTTTACTGCCCATATTAGTCTGGAATGCAATATTTTGATGATACCAATCTTTAGCATCCTATAGTATCTTGTCAATCAGTTGGCCAAATAGAGTTGGCTGTTTTAATCTGATTATTTAGTATTGATATTTCTTCATTGTTTTTTTCTATCTGCAGCATCTCGACGCCTGAGCTTCCCTGTTCAGGGGACAGCTGGCTGCCAATGGCAAAGAGCAAACATGGTGGCCAGCATGAGCTTCTTCTTGGAGGTAAAGTGGGACGAACCGAAGCAAATGGACACCAGGTAATTAGCAAGATTACTCAGATACTCCAGCACCTCCTTGTGTACTTGCCATTCACATCTATGCCATTGATGGCCAGCGCTGCATGATGTACCAAAGAGGCAAGGCCAAGGGTCAGTGAGGCTTCAGCCCCAGGACTTACTGAGGGCACAAGGGGTCTAGCACATCCCACCTGCGCCTACCTTCATCCTGGCCCATTCTGTGTCTTCATAGTTTGACTAATGACTTTTAAACATTTGACTGATTTTTTGCCTAAAGAAAATGAGGATCAGGGCTGGGGATTTAGCTCAGCAGCATAAGCGCCTTGCAAGCAGGCAGTCGTGAGTTCGATCCCCGTTACCGATAAAAAGGAAAAAGACAAAAACAAAAAAAAAAAACAAAAAAGAAAATGAGGATAATCATTTAGTCTTACTGTTTGTAACTTGAGAAGGAAAACTGTGAGCTTTAGAAAAATAAAATGCTATACCTAATGCCTAGATTGTTCTTTTCTTTTTGGTGAGAGGGTACTGGAAATTGAATCTAAGGCCTTTCAGTGAGCTACAGTGCTAGTCCTTTTTTATTTTTATTTTTAATTTTTGAGATAGAATCTCATGGCTTCACTAAGGTGCTCAGGCTGGGCTCAAATTTGTCATCCTTCTGTCTCAGCCTTCAAGAGTCTTAGGATTACAAAACTGATTGCAACAATGCATCCTATTCCTTTGTTCTTTTACTTTGCCTCTCATTCATTGACATGGTAATTGTGTCCTTGACAACCAACTTTATAAATAATAAATATTTATTTTGGCTTATGATTTCACAGGTTTCAGTTCATGCTTAATTGGTCCATTGTTTTAGGCCTGTGGTGACATCATGGCAAGAGCATGTAGCAGAGCAAAATCACCTACTTTGTGGCCAGGAAATGAGAGAGAAATAAAGAGTTGGAGTCCTACTAGTTCCTTCAGGTTACACACCCTATGACCCCAGATCCACCCACTAGGCCCCATCTCTTAAAGGTTCCACCCCTTCGCTATAGCCCCAGAGATTGGGAAACAAGTCTTTAACAGCTGGGCCTTTAGGGGACTTTCCACATCCAAAGGACAGAAGTCCTTTTCTTTGATTTGGGTGGGTCATTATGACTGCCTCAAGTAGTAGGGAATGCTACCTAACTTCTAAGGCTGGGTCATAAAAGGCCATTCAGCTCTTGGGTCACTATTGGCCCAGCCACTGTGCTGGAGAGGAAGCAACACCATATCCTTTCAACAGGCTGATAATTTAAGCCCTTAAATTTTAGTGTGTTTGATTATACAGTGAGATAACTGCTACAGACATTTGAAGGGAATATCTGAAGATTAAGCTTTACATTGTTTAAAATTTCCTGATAGCCTCTATATTACTTACAGAAATATGCCAGCACAATATCTGTGTTTAAAGTGAGATAGATTAAACTTGAACTTACAACTTGTCTAAAATTTAAAAACTATTCTTAGAAGAATATTTGTAATTTGATTATTTTCTTTTCAGAATGTCATTTTGACTCTCGGGAAATTTATAATGTATGAATTCCTTTTGTATATCCTGCCACAGATATGCAGGTAACCAAGCTGGAAACCTGGAAACCTTCCCACGTTCCTTATGTCCCTTCAATAAACGAATGTTGCTTATACTGATGTCTGTATTTATTTCAAACTAGCCCTTTCTTTTTGTCTCTGCAGCTACCCAAGTGCAGGCACGCACTATCATTTCTCTCAACTGCCACAGAAACCACTAACCTGGTTTCTCAATTCCCTCATCCTTACACACACTCTCACTATATCCAACACATTCTTTGTCACTGATGGAGTGACATTAGGAAAACACCAAACAGAACTCGTGGATTCCCCACCTTCAAGTTCTCAGTTGTTGTTCGTGGCTGGGGTGGGAGTATGGTGTAGCTGCTACAGCATGCATTTGACCCTCTGAGGAGGTCAGAAGAATTGGTAGTATTTATGGTCATTTATTTTTTAAATAAATTTGAGTTTTGCTTTTGCTTGCAGAGATGCCGTGAAAATGATATGATGCAACCCTTCTCAAGAGTGTTTCACATTAAGTTTTGTGGAATGTTATCATAGACAGTAGTTTTTAAACAAGAATATTTAAAGTGAGTGTAGAGGTAATGAATTAAAGTTATACAAGTTTCTTTACTGAATAACTCAGACTTTATTCTGCAAATATCCATAATTCTCTAAGAGGAACAAATTCATATACAATGTTTCTCAAACTTAATTTAATTTTGGAATCTATTTTTCATGAACATCTCATGCAGAATTCTGTGGGACACACTTTTTGGAAACATTTGATTTTTGTACATAGGAATCAGCCATTCTAAACACTTTGCCAGGAAATAAAACCACTGTATGGACACTTGCCATTTTCTCCTGCAGAGTATTATTTCCTCTTCTTCAGGTGACAGCATCCAGCTCTTCTTTTGAGGATCTGTCCCTCTTTCTTTCCACATGGTTCTAGCATCACTGTCAAAAATGGCCTCCCTGATACCCTGTATATAAGGTAGAGCATATAGTAGGCAAGTCTCTTCTAGGAGTTGGCATCCTTAAGGGCATAAGGATGCTGAAAGGTTTTGGCCCAGGCAGGACACTGTAGCCAGGAAAGCCACAACTGGAAGCAGGAAGCCCCATCTTGCCCTGACCCTAGGAAGTTACCTGTGACGCCATCTTCCCGCCCCTGGGAATTTACATATGGCGCCAAACCTAGGACCAATGGGCTCCCTGTGTATCCCTAATGCCCGCCTTAGGTTCCACCCCAAACCGAGGCTATTTACAGGCCCCCACGCCACGTGTCCGCCGGAGAGATTGCCGGACGCCAGTGGTGGGGTTGCCGGTCATCTCTCTCCGTGTTCCTCAGAATAAAGGCCGCTTTTTATTTTATATTTCTCATCTTTTGTTAATATTTTTCATCTTTTGGAAATAACTCTATGAGATGCAAGTGACTGGAGTTGAGTCACTCCTGAGACGGGTCCTGAAAAGACTCTGCTTGAGTTCCTGCTACTGAGATCCAGAGAACTGTCCTATTTCCCATATTTCCCCCACCTGCTTCTCAGCAGCTAACTGGATCTGATCAGCTAAACTATATTCTTCCCAATGATTTCTCCTTCTTCCCTCCCTTTCTTTCTTTCCATACCCTATACCCCCTCCTTCATTTCTTCCTTTATTCCCTTCCTCCCTCCCTTCCTCTCTCCTTTCCTTCTTTCCTCTAAGTAGGCCAGAACCCTTTCTTAACTGATGCAGCTGCTATGTCCTGGTCTCTGCACACTCACTTTGCTTTACTGCTTCTCTCATGCTTGGTTCTAGCTATACCTAATTTTTTAATCTCTTGAACTCATCATGAGGATATGTCCCTTTATCTAAAATTCTCTTTTTTGACTTATACTAATTTTTCTAGACTTATACTAAGGATTGTCTCATGAATAGGTCTTCCCTGACTTCATAGTATGGTATTAGCTGACAGGCTTTGGCTACCTGTAACACAGTTTGAGGAAGCCAGTCACAGCATCTGTCTTCCCACCTGAAACACATGATCACTGAAGAGAGGCAAAGGACACAATAGACAGAGATCTAAATACTTTTTAGACTAAAAATTCTAAGCTAGAAACACGGATACACAATTGAGACGCACAGTAATGGGCTTTCTGCTTTTGAATCCCAGAAGGAAGCATATCTCTGTCTTTCCAGTAATTGTAGAAAAACTGTAGCTTCCAACAGGTTTTTCTGCCTGATTCACTGCAGAGCCCAAATCAACCAGAGCACATGATCTCACTGGCAGTGGATATTGGAGGAGACCAAATTGAATGAGCCCAGTCTCTTGACCTAAATCTACCTATCAGAGAGAGAGAGAAAGTGAATATACGGTGGGAAGAATAAAAATGTTACACTGATCAGACCTTTCCTGAAACACAAACCTAACACTCAAAATTCTGCAACATTTTCTTCACTTAATTCATTGAGCAAGGCCAATCGGGCATGTAGGCATCTTCTGAGACGATGGTGCGAAGGTGCAGTTTTGGCACTGTCTTACTACCGTCTTTCCTTAAATCAATCAAATCCTGTTGTTTTTAATCAACAGAGGTCAATGTTAAATTTGCCCGCAGAAAACTCTAACATGAAACAGAAAGTACATTAATTAAATTAATTCTAGGGCCATTCTGTGACCAAAGCAGAATAATTACTTCCCAGTCTCATCCTCATTCTAAATTATTGCAGACTAATTATTTAAATTTGTTCTTGATAGGTTCTGCAATAAGATTAAATAACTAAATTAAAATTTCCAGCAACAAAATGAACAAAATAAGAACACAAACTACTCCTTTTTATGACATTCATAAGGTGAAATTAAGCAACTAATGCTAATGCTCCTTAAAAATTAAAGTCCAAAGGTAATACAAATTCAAAGTTAAGTTACATTCACAGTTAAATTCCCAGTTAAATTCTTTTGTCTAAAGTACTCAGACATTTGTTTTTCTAAAATATAAATTCATCTGTTATATTCCTCCTTGGAGTTGATTATGAAATCAGTGTTTCTGAATTGTCAAAAGGATTTATTGTTTAAACAAATCTTATTCACCTTCGTTTATCTAGGATAATCATCCCAGGAGATAGAATCCTATCCATGCAACCTAAAACAGGTATAGACTCCGCCTGGTTTGTCTTTAATACTCTTCATCTGCCTTATGATTTCCTAGTTTCTTAGGCATATGTCCTTAGATTACCTTTGTTTACATCTACAACAATTACATCATGAGTCTTCTTTTTAGTATCTTGACATAATATTTATATAGCTCATCAACTAGAAATATAAAATTGTGTAGTTTTTAATATAGTCACGGAGTTGTATAACTCTGTCTAGAATTAGAGCACTTTAGAACACTACTACAAAAGAAAGCCCATATTTATTAGCAGTAACTATCCCATAGTCTATGAAAATGCTAATTCACTTGCTATTCTTAGAGCTTTGGCTGTTCTAGCCATTTTATTTAAATAAAATCATATAGTATATAGTTGTTTGGGATTGGGTTTTTCATTTAGTATATTTTCAGGTTTTTGCATATTACAGAATTTGTTTACTCCTTTTTATTGCCAAATAACATTTTATTATATAAATATGTCATATTTTGTCTTTTCACTAGTTAATAGAATGTGGATTATTTTCTAATTCTAGCTGTTTTGAATAATGCTGCCATAAACATTTTTGTACAAAGTTATGGGTAAATGTTTTCAGTTCCTCAAGAACACCCTAGAAGTGAAATATCTGGGCATAAGGTAACTATAAACTTAACATTTTGAATCATTGCCAACATGTTTTTCAAAATGGCTATAGTGTTTTACAATCTAATTGGCAGTATATTCCAATTTCTTCATGTCCTCACAAACACTTGTCTCGTTGGTTATAGCAGTATATTCCAATTTCTTCATGTCCTCACTAACACTTGTCTCGTTGGTTATAGCCGTCCTAGTAGTTCTGAAGTGGAATCTCATAAAATTCAATATATATTTTTTGCTCTTTTGTCATTTGTGCTTTGGCATAGTATATAAGAAGGATTCACCATAACACAAGGTCACAAAGGTTTTCTTTGGTGCATTCTCCCAGCAGTTATCTGGTTTTACTGTTTCCATTTATGTATGTGATCGTCTTGGATTAAATTTTATGTGTGGTATAAGGATGAGGTTCAACTTTATTCTGTGGCATATGATATCCATTTATCCCAGTTCATTTGTTTCTCATTGAATTGTCTTAATGTCATTTTCAAAATCAACTGTATTTAAAGATGATGACTTACTTATGGACTCTTAATTTGGTTTCACTGATTAATATTTCTGTCTATAAATTGATAATTGTGACATTCCAAAGATCACAAATATGATTTTTCTATCTTAGTCTCTTCACTTCAGTATGAAATTTGGGAACAATTTGTCAATTTTCATGAAAAAGTCATATGAGATTTTGATATGGGTTGTATTGTATCCATAGATAAATTTGAGGATTCATTATAGCTTTAAAATCTTTCAATCCATCAGAATGGTATTTCATTCCATTTATTTTTCTCTAATTTCTCTCCACAATGTTTTATAGATTTCAGAACACAAGCTTTACATTTTTATTTCTAAATATTATATTCTTTTTGATACTATTACCAATGAAATTATTTTAGTCTCATTTCAGATTTTTAATTGTTAGCATGCATAAATGCAGTTGTTTATTTTTATATCCTGTGAACTTGGAAAACTTCTTAATTATAGTAGTTTTGTGTAGATTCTTTAGAACTTTTTATAAGATCACATCATCTGTAGTGAGAGATAGGGTATGGCAAAACTGCCTGGAGAAGTAGGTGTGACCTGTTAATTACAAGATCCCAGCTCTGGAACACACGGGCAGAACAGTTCCCAGAGCTGCATGTGGATTTGTCACAAACTTGAGCAGGTTTTCAGTAGGATGACCTGGACCTGTTATCAGCCTGAGGTGTGGGATCCCAGCTCTGTGGAACTTGTGTGCAGAAGTTCTTGCAGGTCTCCTTGACATTTGGACAGTAGAAAAGGACACAGATGCCAAGAAAAGCTTGCTGTGGTGGCTTTCCTCATGAAAGTGTGCCCTGCTTTCTCCAGGGTATACTTTAAT